ATTCGGCCTTATGGTACTTTGTACTCTCCACCAACGATGTAGTCTAGTAAGGCCGATTTGGACGGAAATTTGGTCGAATTATTCGAGAGGGCATTTTCATAATTTTTAGGCGATATTTTCGAAAGGCTATTTTCCTTAGATTTTGAAGGGTGCAGATCACAGATTCAACCTGAGGATATTCTTTAGGGTCGAATAAGTCTAGTAAACATTGATTCGTGCGGTAAATTTTAGGGGCAATATTTGCCAGATTCCAAAGGGGTACCATCACCGATTTCAGGCGATTTTTTGGGAAGACAATTTTCCTTTGATTTTGAAGGCGATGGATCACACATTCGACCTTATGGTACTTTCCACCAACGATGAAATTTAGTAATGCCTGATTTGGCCGGAAATTTGGTCGAATTATTCAGGAGGGCATTTTCGTAATTTGTAGGCGATTTTTTCAAAAAGCCATTTTTCTTAGATTTTGGAGGATGCAAATCACGGATTCAGCCTGAGATTATTCTTTAGGGATGAATAAGTTTATGAAACATCGATTCGTGCGAAAAATTTCTGGGACAAATTTTGCCAGAATCTATTGGGTACCAATACCATCACCGAGTTCCGACTCTTTTTTGGAATGAAAATTTTCCTTGGATTTTGAAGGCGATGGATCACACATTTGGCCTTATGGTACTCTCGACCAACGATGAAGTCTATTAATGACCGATTTTGACGGATTCCAAACTGGTACTGTATCTTGACTCTTGAGCCCCCTAACTACTTTAAAATTTAAACTAGGTGGGATATTGCGCCTTGTCGGGGGGCAAAGATGGCTTATGTGCATTTATTATGTGTCCCGTTATGGTATTTTGTTAGTGTTATTAGTCTAAAATTAATTTTTTGTTAGCCGTTTTGTTAGTAACATTGACTTGACAATATGATATTGATTAAGAGATATATGGCTGTCAACATCCAATTTAAATTTTTTTGAAAATTTTGGCTAATAAATGATATTTACCTAAACCCAAGTAGACCCATTGATTATGGGTAGGGTATGGGTGACATATATATGAGTTTGGAAGTTTGTAGGTGGGTTTGTGTAGCGTATGGATATTTACTTTCATAATCTATATGTGTATGAGCTAGGTATGGATACTCATTTTTCGAGGGTGTTTTAATTACACATACAAAAATTAGACCTATTTGTAGAACTTAAAAAGTTAAGATACCAAAATATAATACACAAAGGTACTAAAATTTAATGTTCCATCAATATTTTGAGGACTTATATGCCAAAAAATAAATTTAGGTTATAAATATAAAGATATATTAAGTTTAGGTATCAAACTATAAGTTGCATAGTTGAGGCCTAATTCCTTTTATGGTGATGCATTTAAGATGATAATTATTTACTTTTTCATAAAAAAATGGAAATTATTTATTTGATATTAAGTTTAGCCAAACATTCCATGTATAATTGTTGAAAATTCTAGCCTAGGTGAAAAAGAAAAACTACAGAGAGAAGTAAAAGGAATACAAACTGGAACTTGCTTAAAATTTCATCCCTTCAAATCCCGTTGCAAAAAGTGACGAATTTATAAAAAGTAATAACTATATATGTTATTTTTAATTGGACTCAACATTGAGTTGAAAAAGTTCGTGGTTCATGGTTCAATTATTGATTCTCTATACTGTTGGTGAGTCGTGTATGGCCCTGTTCATACTTGTGATTAGAATACATAAAAATAGGATACTAATTAGGATTAGACGAAAAAGAAAAAGAAATAAATAAAAAGGATTATGGAAGGCGAGTGATAAATGAAACGAAGAGGAAGTATATGATGAAAAGGTTACGACCAATTCTTTTAGTTGGCCGTCAATACAACAATCAACCCTTTTCACCGTAGCAATTTATTGACACTTGCTTATGTAGATCTCACATATTTTTGTTACATGTAGTTAGTAGAAGTTTGTTTAGTACCCAGTAAATGTACTAAATGAGTTTATTACTTCGCTCTTGTAATATTTTAGAGTCGTCTCTCTTTTATCATTTATTTAATGTTTCACGTAATGAGAAAATATAAAATGGTTGAAACTTCTCTTACAGTTGAGTGATACAACATCTTGTACGGTACAAACTAAATTTATACTCTTATGGTGGATTGGATTAATGGATTGGTTCAAAAGGATTGGTGGATTGGATTCATGAGTACAAGTGAAATCTACACAATTGTAAATTTTAAAAAATTGTAGGTACGAAAATCTCATAAAATTTAGATACCAAAACATAATTGTTCAATGATTTTACATTATATTAAATTTGGGGTACCATGGATTGGATTCAAGGGTTGGTTCAAAAGGATTGGTAGATTGGATTCATGGATTCAAGTGAAATCTAAATATTAGACCAATTTACATTTAAATTAAAGTTGGGTATAAAAATGTAAAATATACATTATAATGACTAATTTGTAATTTGTTAGACATAATTTGTAATTTATTTGGCAACATAACCAAACTTCAGAATTATATATATTAATATGGAAGATTTGTGAACTATCTTAATCAAAGTCTTCCCGTATTTAGTCACTTCCACATTGTTTTCATCGGTCCGAAATTCCTTTTCCCACCTCCAACAGTTCAATAATGGACTATGACTCCATGATTTTCTTCATTTTCGACTTTTTCAGTTTGCTAGTTCATATTATAATGAAACATGGATAGTTTGGAGATTGGGATGTTGAGATATAAGAAACTAAATAGAGAAACTTATTCGTGATTGAATTTTGAAGATTTCTTGGTTTATCTTAACTCGAAGAACATTCATAAGAATTGAATACCGATATATAATAAGGCATATACACAGAGAAGAAATTAAGTTGAAGTAAGGAGGGGCTATAGCCCATCCAAAATGTGAAATATAAGCAACAAATTTATGAAATAGAGTAATCAGTAAGGTCTTAGCCCTTCTCCTTCAATTATAACGAATCAAGTTACCTCCTATATTCAAATTTCTGGCTCCGCCCCTGCATATACATCAAGATCATTCGTAATATAAAGAGTATGCAACTCATGTATAAATTATTTCCTGGACATGAAATTACTGTTAACTTTTGAAGAGTACTACTATTAATTTCTAGTTTAAGAAAATAATATATGTACTTATTTTAAAGTCAATAAACATCGCCTAATTTCAATACATAATTGTCTATTTTGCAAATTTGGCATTTGAAGAAATTATACCTCCATTCATCCTTCGACGATACAACCTCCGCCTTTGTCTCCGACGAACCAAGCCGATCTTCCATCCTTCCTCTACCTTGCCAAGGAAGAAGGAAAATGATATATCCATCTTCAAGATAAAACAAAAAAGGAAAAATGGTATATCCAATATCCATTTACAAAATAAATATCGGGTTCAATATATTTATCAAAAATTTAGGGGGTAAACATAGTTAGTAAATACTCCGTTTAATACACGTATATGTACCCGTACGTACTTTATCCGTTTAAAACTTCCGTATCCGTATTATTGTCAAGTCGTTTCATTTTCCCCCGTTCATTTCATGGTTCCCGTACTAAACACGTATAAAACCCGTATAACACGTTTATTATCCGTATTTTACGAATTAAATTGTTAACTTTACTATTATTTATATATTTATTTATTTTTAAAATGATTAATTTTATATATTTATGACTATTAACGTACTATTAAACGTAATTTTAGCTTAAAGATGAAGTATAATGCCCGTACGTATCTTTTACGTAACTTTCCCGTACCGTATTTTACTAACTATGGGGGTAAAGCATAACGGAAAAAATAAATTTACTGGTAATATTACTAATTGACCAAAAATAACCATAAAAAAAATTGACCAAAAACTCACAACAATGAACAAACGTTGTAAACGATGGATATGGAAAGCAACCCACTCTCAAAATCAAACCCATCCACTCCAGTAGGAAAAACGTCAGATCTAATTAATGTCTACACATCACCCGTTTTAAAATAAGATGAAAGCTGTACGTATATCGTACACTACATATAAAAATGTCAAAATTACATTGCTCTGTACAATCTGTCAGTTTGATGTCTACAAACATTAAAAAATTATTTTCAAATATAACGGGGGAAAATAAAATAAACCAATACAACTAAGCCTGCCGAGATTCAACTCCCATTTAATTCTCTATAAAACAAATTCCCAAATACATTCAACAATTTATTTTCCGATCAATAATGCACCTTTCCCCTGAAAAAAAAAAATATATATATATATATATATATATATATATATATATATATATATATAAGGAAAAAAAGTCATAGTCATCTTGCGGTGGAAATATCTCTCAGAAAACAGGAATTACCGGTACGTATTTTCTTTCCGAAATACAAAAAAGTACATTTATTAATAATTATTTATTAGTCTTTCTGGAGTGGTCAAATGAGTAATTTGCCGTGCAACTCGTGCAATCGCGTACTGGATAATCAATTTTTACCCCCATCTCTCACCACCACATGGCCGGCTGCCTCGCTTCTTTTCTTGACGCAATCAACAGTTGAAGATTAGTAGAAAGAAAGAAGGGAGAAGATGAAGAAGTTCAGCTTGTTTTCCCAGCCGCCCAATTTTCCCCCAAATCCCTAATTCCCAATTCCTTCCCCCAGTTTACTTCTTCTCCTCTACTCAGTCCTCACTCGCACGACAAGACAACTGAAATCGAAAACCCCCAAATCGCAATTTCAATTCCCTTCCTTCCTTCTTCATTCGTATTATGGTTTCTGACCAAAATCCTCTCCTTTTCCACTGAATCTCTCCACCAACAGAACCATGTCGATTAACCCAGAAACCCCAGAGTCGACGACCTTGGAAATCGCCGCCCAAGTCAAGCCCTCAGCTCCTCCGCACCCGCCCTGGCGTGTCTCCGGCCCAGATCCCGACGAAGAAGCCGCCCAGATCGTCCCGCACCGGACCTTCCTCAGGTTCTGCGGCTGCTCCGCCGCCATCGTCCTCATGGCCGGCATGTTCTTCCTAATCCTCCTCTTCACCGCCTTCCGAATCAAGGACCCACACGTCGCCGTCGCCGGACTCACTACCACCGGCCCTCAGAGCCTCCGCCTCAGCAACGGGACCGCCGCCGTCGGGAACGCGACGGTTCTCGCCGACGTCAAGGTGAGGAACCCGAATGCGGCGGCGTTCAGGTTCGGACACGGGGAGGCGACGATTTACTACGGCGACACGGTGGTGGGGGAGACGGCGACGCCGCCGGGGAGGGCGAAGGCGGGGGGGACGGTCCATATGAGCGTGGCGGTGGAGATTTCGGGTGAGAAGTTATCCGGTGTGCCGCAGCTCAGGGAGGACGTTGAATCCGGGACGTTGATGATGAGCTGCGTAACGCGGATTCCCGGGGATGTGAAGATAATTACGAAAAAGCACATGGTGGTGAAAGCTATATGTGCCGTTAATTACGACTATGCCACGGGACAAGTCACAGCTGGTCGCTGCGCACAGTATATTATTTCGTAATTATGTAGCTTTTTTTTTTTAACAATCTTTTCTTTTTAATTTTGAGTTTTGATGATAATATGATCAGTTGTTATATTATACCCCGCCTGTTTATTAATTCATTTGGGTTTTTTTTCTAACGTTAATGATCGGTGGTTAGATGTTCAAGAAAAGATGTAATGGCTTGATCGGCGGTTTGCCTTGTGAAAAGGAAAGAATTAACATTAATTCCACTTTTTTCTTTTGGTAATGGGAACAATGAAGGTAGACATGTTCTTGATATATATAAAATTTGACTGATTGTGATGTTCAACTGGTTGACTTTTCCGCTTATAATGCTTAATTAGTAATTACTTATTTGTTTAGGTTATGCAAGTGGAAGGCCCATGTGGAATTGGTAAAGCCCAATCAATTTTTCCCCATTAATATAAAAGAATTATAAAAAGGAACTGTTTTTCCATAAATGTGTTTTTAAACATCAATAATTTGTACTATTGTCCTTTTTTTTTTTCTCATAAAGAAACACCAATGAGAAGAGAGTCACCTCCTTCCTTAGCTTGCAGCCTTGCACTATAAACGCCAACCCCTTTATAGCTGGTTTTCGATCAAATGTGTTGGTATGATTTGAAGTCGTACAAGATTGTATTCTTTAAATCGAATAAGTGAAAAATCATGTAACTCAATCTTCGACTCTATCTGACTAGCATAGACGGAGCAGAGAGGACCAAGAAAATAAATCGAATCGATTTAATTATATAATATTTTTCTGAGCCTAAAAACCATGAGCCATGAAGGTCATTACCAAATGATAAGGTACAAAAGAAGTCATCTAACCTATAAAGAAGTGGGAAGCGGTGCAAAAGCTATAGATTTGCTGTAAGCAAATTGTCTTGTTGCTAAAGGAAATGCTGCTTTCTTTCTTTTCTCTCTTGCTGGATGTGTGCAATCCATCTCCATTGTACGTGCCTTGTGTACTTCCCTTCTTGCTGTTTTGTTTGTATTATTGAATTATTATTTATATTATATGGATGATGGTAACCTATCGGTGCCCACCAGAAGACAAATTTGGAACAACAACAAAAAAAGAAGGGTTTCAGGAGAGTTGGATCCAATTGGGAGTCTTGGCTCTTTGGCCACTCTTTTCCTTCTCTCCCTTGTCTTCCTCCTTTTGTTTGGGATGTAGATAACAAGTTGGCCGTCGATTAAGAGAAAGCACCGGCGGAAAATGTCGATCGATGATCTCCGTTCCAAAACAAAACCGTATCTTTGAAGAGGTCAGACTTCTTCAACTTCCCCATTTGCCGAAAGCCAAACGGTCATTAGGGACAAATGCAACCTGACATGAGAGAAATTAGCCCTCACCGAAATAGAGTAATATGAAAAGTTTAACGGTCAGTTTACCACCTTAAAAATATGACTGCGTTAACAGAGTCTAACATAGATTGATGGTCGCTAACTAGCGATTAACCGTTTCGTAAAACTGGTGGCCAATAATAAAGAAAAATAATTTGAATGACAAACATGAAATATTTATGTATTAATATCGAGCGTGTAATTTAGCTCAAAAAAGAAAAGAATGCAAATAGAAAATAAATAAATTAATCAATTTGGACGTGGGCACGTGGTCCTTTTTTTATTGTCATTAGATTCATCAGCACTCGAGGTGAAAGTCAGAATCAAGATACATAGAGACCCTAACCAAGAGACCTATTGACTCCGAAGCCAGGAAACAAAATCAAACCCCATTAACATGCGGGGTGACAAAGACAGAGAACAACGGGCTACAGAATGAGCCTCTCTGTTACAATCACGACCAATGAAACGAAAGAACAATGACCAATCTCTTGAACGAGTTGGTAAATTTCATCTAGAATACTCCCAAAGTCCCAATCCTATTGTTAGAGTTGTGCTGGATTAAAAAAGAAGAAGTGAATTACAACTTGGGCTGGATAAAAATAGACATGTCGGCCCAATTTGTGGAAGATAAGAACATTCCAGTAATCGAGAAATGGAAGGCTGGGCCCAAAGAAAACAAGGACGAACCAAAAATTCAGCCCGCTGCGAAATCGAAATTGAACAGAAGACGGGGATAATATTAAGCCCACTAACTTCCTCGTGTGTGGTTGTGTTGTGTTAGGGGAAGAATAACGGGGAACATCGACGGGATTGTGGACGGGTTTCATGGAGAAAGTCTGTCGCCGTCCAACGTGGAATCTATCTAGCGACGGAAGACGGGAGAACCTCGTTAGTAATTGAGCCATTTTGTCTGGACATGGACGATGGCTAGCTCCGGCTCCGGCTCCGGCTCCGACGACGATGGGGTATGATGATTGAAAAGGGAGCTAGATCGAGGTAACGACAACAGTTTTGATTTGGTTTTATGGATGGTGAATTGATGAGCTGTTACAAGAGCATTAGACGGAGTTTGCAATCGGCGGCGAATTTTTTTTTAGCTAGGGGTGTTTACTTAGTCATTTGGTAGGGCGGGGACAATTGGGTAATCGTTCTAGAGCTTGGGTACTGATTCGTGGATCGCTAAAGTTCTGGGAAATAACCAACTGGCACTATATGAAATCATCCAAAATAAGGATCTAATAGTAGTATATCTGACTTCAGGATCCAATTGTAGTTTAGACGCAGAGTCCTTCAATAATTTTTGGAAGGAGGCTAATTGAGAACCTAGGTGAGAGATGTTTTCGGGTACCTATATGAGCATACTCGACGTTGATGAGGATGGGGATTCATATGGAAAAAAAAGGATCTAGACATTTCAATGACCAACATGCAAAACTGGAGCGACAATTAGTGGTAAGCATTTTTTTCAATTTTGACTTAGCGTACGTGCAATGTCTAAATCAGGAATTAGATTGAGCAAAATCAAAGTAAATATTGTGAATTTGTATAATTTTTTTTATTGAAATTTAGATTTTAATAAGGGTGAAGATAAACAGGGAGGCAATAGCTCGTATCCTGCCACTCTTCAATGTTTGTCCAACAAAAAAAATATATATATATATACATTCTAGATTGAACATTGAAATCGTAAATGACACATAGCTCTGATATTGCTAGTGTCATTCACGTTTGAGTCAATTACATAAGAAGTTTTTAGTGCTCAATACGAGTTTGTAAGCGTGCATACAAAGCATCATCGAAAGGATATGTCCAACCCACCCAAAAACAAACAAGCAAACCGCTCTCTCTTACTTTAATTCAAATTTTCCTCTCATCCCTCTCTAACTTTTTCCTCGGCGGTGTAAATCTCCAAGGGCTGCCGTCGGCATCTCTTGGTGACCGACGATGGCCCGACCCCTTTCCCTTCTGCCTGCATTTTCAGCTTCCTTTTTCTTGTTTTCATGTTTTTCACTCTCTTGTTCCAGGCTTCCAGCTTTTCAGTTTTCCAGCCATTTTTGGCATTTCGCTGCCCTGTTCTTGGGTTTTTTTGCTAGGATTTGCTCTCCTTGGGGGCTGGGTTATGCATCTTGGGTCTTCCCTCTTGATGGTAGATTTACCAGCTTGTGTGGTGAATCGATTCACTGGTTTTCCCCTTCGTTTCTTCCCAGGTGGTTTGTTCTGCATCTTGGTGGGCTATGGAGGATGGATTGCGGTGTCTTGATGGATTGCGGTGTCTAGCCCTGCTGCTCGTGGTTTCGGATCTTTGATCTGGGGATTTGAGTTCTTCTTATTCCCTTGTACAAGTCTTGGTGTCTTGTTTTCTCCCTACCTCTTCAGCTCGGAGCATTTCGATCTTCAATCTTGTTTACCACCCTGTAATCCCTCACTCGAGATTCACCGTGTTGAGCGTCTTCGAGCGACTCCCAGGAGGTGGCAAATGACATTGTGTTAAATTGTCATGGACTCGGTCGGATCGGACGAGCTAATTGCGCTTGGTGCTACTTTGTTTGAATTGATTGCAAGAGAGCTTTCGATGTTTACTGCTTTTGGTTCAAGTGTTTCAGATCCATTGTTGGGATACTCTTTCTGTGTTTTGTGCTCTTCTGTTACGAGATCGAGCCATCGTAACATTTCATTAATTACTGGGCTTGCGTATCTTTCTTATTAGTTAATATTAAGTAATTAATTAGGGATATTATTATTGTTTATTTGTCTTAGTAGGGTTTGGTTATCGTGTCCTTGTGGGAGTAGTATTCAAGTTCTAGATAGGAAAAGGTAGAGGCTTCTAAGCCTATAAATATGTACTTGTTTCGTTCGTTTAATGTCATGAGAAGATTGGAACCCAATTTATGTTTGTCTGCTTTGATTATTTCTTTCGTTCAGTTTAGTAGTTTCGTAGCTATTTTGGGGATGTTCTCGCCATTAAGGAGATCCTCTACTCGAGAGCGTCGAGCAACGTATCCAAAAGTCCGGAGAAGTAAAGATCCAGTACGTAGAATTCCGCCCCTACGGCGCATCTACGTAACATCTTCTTGTTGTATCTCTGAATAACATATTGATGATCCATGTGCTTGAGTTTGTCTTTCCTTTGTTCTGATTTTGGTTTGCTTTGTTAGTTCTCTTGTAATCGATTTTTTAAAGTGCAATGCAAGTAATCCCTTTTGTAAAAAAAAATAAAGGACATGTCCCATTATCAATAGTAAGACCACTGATAGGAAATACATTAATTTGCACCAATCAACAATATGAACAGGATGGCCATGGCTCAGAATGCATTGTCCAATCTGACTGTCAGGTGCTGGTGAAAGCATTGGGTAAAGAAAAATCAGGATGGCCATGGCGCTGTGCAGCATGGATTGGCTCGATGATCAATATCCTAAGGACAAATCCTGCTATCAAAGTCAAAGAGGTGCCTCGAGCATTGAATGTCAGAGCGGATTGGGTGACACGATCAAAAGCGAGATCTAATCTGCCTGATGACTGGATTAATATTCTTGATCTAATTTCTGATCTTCTTTAAGAATGTAATTTGCCTTCGTTTTCTTTCGAAAGTGGAATAAAAGTTGGATTAATTGTAAAAAAAAAAAAACAATATGAACAGATTGTGCACACAAACACGAAAGCTAGGTAAAGAAGCACCTAGAAGAGCGTAGGAGCATGGAGCTGCCATTTCTTTTGTCCAACTCCGCTGCCTAATTTTTTTCCTAAAGCAAGTTTCCATTATATGTTACAAAAGTTAAAAAACGGGGAATCATCGCCACCCCCACCCACCATTTACTGGAATCCTTTCGTACTCAAAACGACAACCAAACTTTTTTGCAAACTTACTGCAAGTCTTAAAGTCTACAACCAGTTTGGTTACCTGAATTATTTAAATCGCGTTCTTACAATTTATAGGCGGTGTTGTCATCTCATCGGGCTTAGATAGCGTCACAACCTTCATAGGGGTTGTGATTTTCACTTCCTCATTTGCAGCCATTAGATCCAACCTCTCTCTTGATTTTTCAAATTAACGGTTTAGATTAAATGAAGGGTATTTTTGGAAGAGAAAAACTTACCACACATGATCCTTTCTCATTTTCTATATAATCTGATTTCCTAAAAAATAACTCTTCCTCTCTCCCCTCTCTCTTCCTTCTCCCGAGAACCCTAACTGCTCTCTGTCTCTCCCTTCCGTTGTCGTCGCTGCCGTTGCCGCTGCCCCCTCCCGTGCCACCGTCGTCGTCTTTCCCTCCTGCCGCAGTCGTCGCGTCCTCCGCCTCCCACCATCGCAGCCCTCTCTCCTCCCTCCAACTCCTGTCACCGCCATCTCTCTCCCGCCGTCCTCCTCTGCCGCCGCCGCCGCGAGGTAACGACCTCTCCCCTTCCTTCTCCTTTCCTCATTCCTTAATTTTTTTCCAGATCTGGGATTTTTTAGATTTCAGAATTTTTTTTATGTTATTCTCTAGTGGTACTGATTTCTGTCTAGTGGTACGCTACCAGTGGTAGTGGTAGTGTACCAGTACTCAGTGGTAGCGGTACCAGTGAGTAGTGGTACTGATTTCTGTCTAGTGGTATGCTACCAGTGGTAGTGGTATCGTACCACTATTCACTGGTACTGCTACCACTGAGTACTGGTAGCTGTACGAGTGGTATTTGTAGCGTACCACTACTACTGGTAGCGTACCACTAGATGAAAATCAGTACCACTAGCACAATGACGGAGTGGTTTTTTGCAGTTAGCCGGATCGAGTCTGATTGGAGGATTTCACCGAAAAAATTCATCGGCCAGAGAAACTTTGGCGGCCGGAGTGAAGAGGTTGTTGGAAAAGAAAGAGAGAGATATAAGCGTATTAATTGTAGGATTTAAATTAAAAAGGTATTTAATCTGGATTTTTAATTCCCAATCTGTAATTAATACAAAAATAAATAAATAATAAATTCTGTTTTTTTTTCATATCCAAATTGGCCTTGGATGTGAATCTCACATCCCTCTTAGGGGATGTGACGGTAACTCATCCCTCATCAATTCATATGCATCTAACGATTATGTATTGCATAATACATTATATAACAGTGGAAACAAGGTATCATTCAACAATGTAAATCAGAGTTTGCAAAAATCTCTACTAGTAGGATAATCAAATCCAAATACAGCGAACAAACAACTAACCTACTATCGAAATAATCACTGGTGATCCTACTTAATGTTGCACCAATTGGATTTCGAATCAAGTCTCTTGTCACGTTAGGTGACAAAAACACCTAATTCTAGCATTTATTCAGTTATTCACGCCATATTGACGTTATTCACTGTATATTGGCGTTATTCACGTAAGAGCGTTGCTTATTCACGCAACCAATATTGTTTAGTCACGCAACCTGGTATTTATTCACATATATTGTTATTTATTCACGCCATTGTAAAATTAAATTTTAAACTTTGAAATATATCAAAATGGATGTCATTGTGTAGATTATGATAAATGCAATATATTTTTACAAATTAATTGAGAATCCAACTTTAATTCTATAAAATATAGCCAATACAAATTATTACGGGAAAAAGTCTGATTTTTTATTTACGTGAATAAGCATAGTATTAAGTGAATACGCACTAAATGACGTGAATGAGCACAAAAATGACAAAATAACTTTCCCTTAGATTTCTGGATGACAATTGTAATGAACTTTACTACTGAATCATTTTGTTTCACTGACTTATGTGGATGGGACGCATCATGGTCAGCAGTAGCTGAGAAACTATTATGAATCATTGACCACGGCGGACTTTGCAGTAACACACACACACAAAATCGAGATCCGAAACATCAACCAAATAACATCATTGGACCACTGATCACATCAAAGCAAACACCCCCTAAAAACAGCACAACAGAAATCCCAAATCTCCATAAACAAGCTTTGCTAAACCAGAGAGAGGGAGGGAGTGAACTTAGTTTTTGGTGTCTGCACTGTATTGTTATATCTCTGTCTGTCTTCTCCACTCCCCCGCCCCTCCTCTGCCATTCTGTCGAGAGAAAGAAAACAAAACCCTTTCTTACTTTTTTACTGTTTAAGCCTTACTTGCCACTTTCTCCTGCCATCTCTGACCACAAAAAGACACAAATCCTTGCAATTAACTTGAATTGACCAAACCACCCCCCAACTCCTCCTCCTCTTCTTCACTTCACTTCACTCCCCACCCCCACAACTATCAAGTATGAACCAACATCAATGCAGAAGAAACCCTATCCTCACTTTCCTGTGGTGGTTGGGTTTTTTTTTGATGGTCCTCGAGCATTGCCATTTTTGTTGAATCTTACCAGCATGCTCTTGGGGTTGGTTGGGGTTAACACGAGTTAATATTACCAGATTGTTCGGTCTCGCGATTTCATCCATTAGATGCAAGCATTAGCACAGTTATAAATAAAATGTGCGTGCGATGACAAAGATCGCATCTTGTGATGGTGTTAGTACGCGTTGATCGCAACCTCTATCGGCACGCTTGCCTCACTGAATTATGATGCTACAAGCTACATACATAAAGAGATTGAGAGCCTTTTGGTTTACTTGAACTTGCACCGGAAACATTTGGTTTCCAGAATACTACTTACTAAGCCACTGACATTACAAACGGCACAGCAGTACCGACCTCCTCTACTCTCTCTATTCACTTTACTTAATCACCTAAATTAACTGCACTAAAGCTATAGATTTAACAACTAATTCAAACAACCGCGCACATTTACAGAGACAAAAAACATGTACTTAAAGTTATCCTTATCCATATTTAACTGATTGATTTGATTACGCGAACTCCTAGGCTGTGGTATTATTATCAGACCACCGGCCCACTTGATGCTTTCCCATCATCACCACCGGAATCTTTCCCCGACGACTCGCCGGATTTCTCAGGCGACGAAGATGACTCGCTCGCCGAACTTGAATATTCTGAATCTGCGTTAATAATGGGAATCACAAAGGAGTCATGAAATGATTATTACCCTTTTCAACTGAAATCGTCGCTAAAATTTCCGGGTTTAGTTACTCTGTTAATTTTTTTTTACCTCGAGAGGCATTGAAGGATCTCTTGCAATGAAGAATGGCGCTCTGAATCCCATCTTGCTGCTGCAGCAACGAGTCGTCTCTCCGATTCGATGCTGCAGCCGTAGGCGGAGGAGGAGCCGCCGCCACGGCGGAAGAAGCGGATCGGCTTTTCCCCAAGTGCTTGCACATGACTCTTAGCCCTGCCTGCAAATTCCCCTGTTTCGCTGCTCCCTTCACGTGTTGTTGACCCACACAGTTGACTGTTCCAGCCTCCTGCTGAACCTTCTCCGACGACGACGAGGACGACTTCGACGGGGAAGCCTTCAGAATCGCCGGAACAGGAGGAGTAACCCCAACCGCTTCCGCCGTTGCCGCCGAGGATTTAGCAACATTTGAACCTAGACTCAGCTGACCAGAGAATCCAAGCTTTTCCCCGTACCGTTTCGAAACGCGGACGTAGAGAGGCTTCACTTTCTTCAAGTACTTCTGCAATGCCTCCTTGGAGAACCTCTGCCTCTCTTCCGCCGCCGCGGCGGAAGTATTGTCGCCGGAATTGTTTTCGCTAACACTACCACTCTGCTGCGACGACTTGATGCCGCTCTTGCTGCTGTTGTCTCTGGTGAACAGAGACACAATTGGAACCTCCTCGACTTTGAACTTGACGGTGAAAAGCTTCCCCTGCCTCCCATTTCCATTTCCATTTCCTTCTTCCTCTTTCTGCTGCTCCGCCGCCGCTGTATCCACATCTACAACGGAATCGGCCGATTTCTGTTCACCGGGGATTTTTTCCTTGTTGGATTTCTTGAATCCCAGCAAGAAAACCCTGAATTTGGTGGCGGATTTGAGCAGGGAGACAGGGATCCTCTGAGATTTAGGGTTCATGGCGTCGGAAGACTCCATCATTGGCAGCAACGTTCCCTTGAAGAACATCTCGTCGGAAGGGGAAAGTGCCAGCTGGCCGGTGGGGTCCGCACGGTCGTTGCAGCTGGAAGCCGACGAGAGTGTGAAATCGAACTCTCCCTCTTCTCCGTCGCCACCGCCGTCAGAATCAGAATCGGCGGAGGAATCAGCCCCCTTCCTCTGCCCCTCTTCCTCGTCATCGTCTCCCACCTCCCCAACCGCAAACTCCAAGTCGAAGTAAGGCCCATCGTCGCCGGCGGCGCTGGAATCCTCGTCGGTGGAAGGCGGCGGCGCAGCATTGTCGTCGGGGAAGGCGGAAGTGACAATGGTGGTAGTGTTGTGACGGGCTGGAAGAAGAGTGGGAGGAGGAGGAGGAGGAGGAGGGGAAGGAGAGGGCAGGGAGACAGCTCCTCCTCCGCCGCGCCAGTACTTGAGCAAGGTGAAAGCTTCCATAGTCGGGAGAGCCAGAATATGACGAAAAGGGAAGCAACCAAACCAGGGGAAAGGAAGGGCGGAGCTGATAGCGGGTCTCGTTATAAAAAGAAAGAAAGGGAGAGCAGTAGGGTGAGTGGAGAAAACAGGGGAAAGGAAGACGAGAGCAGAAGAGGAAGGAGGAAAGGCGATTGAGTGGGGTTTTTTTTTAGTTTTTTTTTCTTTACTTCGCAGTGAGCAATCAATGGCGAAGTAATTGGGACGATGGGGGTGGGTGTTGTACTGCAAAATGTGAGATGGGGAAGAGAAAGAGAGACTAGAGGAGGGATGGCGTGGTGGTGCTGCAGTTGCAGGTTCTGGTTTTGGACATGTGAGGGAGAGAGAGTGAGGGAGAGCAGAGTCTGATGCAAGTCAGAAAGAGAGGGGGAAAGGGAAAGTGTTTGTATAATTTTGTACGTGGGAGTCTCTGCTCGCATTAATGGAGTGGAGTGACTCATTTCATTTTCAATTTTCTCCTTTGTTTTGCTTTTCCCCTGTTTTCACTCTCCTCCTTGGTCCTTCCTTTCTTCCTTTTTTGACCATGGGAAATTCGTGGGACCGTGGGAGGGAATGGGAGGGGCGAATTCATGGGGTTAATCTGAATCACATATACGGTCACTCAATTTTGGGATCATGAACAAAATGGTCACTTAACTTTTTTTTAGGAGATAATAATCAGTTGACCAGTTTATTTCGTTTTCGGCAAAATTAGACACATAACATAAGTAAACTGCCACGCACATGAACTAGGACAATCGATAATAATAAGTAAAATAACGATCAGCAAGAAAATAAATGATACATGAATTTACAGAATATAGAAATTTATGTCGTTCTCTAACTCAATGTGTGTTAGTTAGTCTACATACGGGAGAAAGTAAACTTCATTGTGCTTGATGAAATTACAGATTATAGAGAAATATGAGAAGTATATATACTACTTCTCCAATGACCTAACCCTAATCAAATCTGATAAAGAATATTGCATATCAGGTTAACACATAAACCCAAACGTCTACAGAACCATACACCATGGATCAAGGGCGTTGCCTCCAAACCCCATTGGGGAAACATTGTGTTAGAAATGTTATCATTAGAGTTTTTTTTAGGAGTTAGGCGGGTTTGTGTGCAAAGATAATTACGGTTAATTTAGGGTTTATTATTAAGTTTTCCAGTTTATTTTCCATATATATATATATGTACTTTGGGTATTACATCAAAATTAATTAATCAATAAAAAATATTCAAAAAAGTATCTCTCAAATCCCAATTTATCTTGTCTCCCTATTCAGGCGGTCAACCATCTATCTTCCTTTTCTCCAATTCTATCTCCTAATCCCAAATCCCTAAATTCTCAATTCTCTTCATCCTAATCTCAAACTATAATTCCATTCGAAATCCTAAATGCCCGTAGTTCTTACAACTTGCTCCTCCGAGCCCCTAACCCGACTCTTCACCTCTGAACTCCGACTCACTGACCTGACAGTGAGATTCCCGTGATTTTCAATCGACGACAAATCATTTTATTCGAGTTATATACCGGCAAAAAAATATCTCATTACAATTATTGTGAGAAATTATGACATGGACAACAATCGGGGGTTTCAACTTGGTCGGAAACTCATCGGCCGGGAGGTGCATGCAGGTTGAAGAACAGAAGAGCTCATGTGATCGTCATCTATGCCTCAGCGCCAGTGGACGTTTTCAGACTAGCCGGAACAATTTATTTGCTTGATCTAGGCTCCAGGTGTCATACTGTATTACTGTTGCTATTATATATATATGGCTCAGCAAATAATCTGAGCACAAGGTCAGAGGACCTCAACGGTGGAGTCAACCCTGCAGGCTACGTGGCTAAGACTTGATATTTGGTGGGAGAGGCTGTAGCCGTGGCACACATGCAAGCAGTGAGGCCATCTTCTTCTTTTCCCCACGACCACAACCACTGCGCAAGGCAAGATCATCTGTATTATAATCAAAACCTCGGAGTCCCTGTTATACGCAGGAAAAGAGGAACAGGGATATGCTATGAAATTTAACGCCACATTCCTCTTTCTAAGAACCAACTCTCAGGACTCGTAGGGTAAAAGCCGGATATATAAGCTTGACCTCACCACCACCATTGCATGAGTGACCAATCAATGATTTAATTGAACTGGTTTTAAATTTTAATGTACACGATGATTTATTAGCTGAGTTAATCATCATGTTCTTCTATCCGCTTTGTCATGGGAAAATGCGACCACTTCTTTGTCTGAAGTAGCATACATGCATAATATATAAACATAATTAAATTGGTGCATAGCCATGGCACTTGCCTGGTGACTGGTGTCTATGTTTCTTGATGTCACTACTTCTGATTAGTACTCATATATACTTAATTATGACTCACTCTCCTCGTGGTCGATTGATCGAGATGGTCAGACTAAGTCAATTCATATATGTATGTATGTATTAAAAATACATAATATTTTGACATCTTTCAATAAAAGTTTAAGAGAGAACATATGTTACATAATTATTATGTTCTCCATAGACGTGATAATTTATCGCTAATCATTCTCACCTAGTAAGACAGTTAAATGACGTTTGTCATAAAACAAGATGAACATACTTTCCTATCGTCTCGACTGTACAATTGATTTTGGTTTTAGATGAGCTAAAATGCTGAAACCAAGAAGAAAATAGTGATTCGCATCAAGGCAATGGTAGCTCATCATCATAACCATAGTGGTCGCATCAATATAGATTTCCCGGTTGGTAAGGCAACGATTAAAAGCTAGCTAGGGTTTAGGAAATTTTGTCTCTTTCATACAAATCATGTGACCCATGTTTATTATTATACTCCCAACTTGGGAAAAGTCCCACCCAACCCAAGATCTATACAAAACAAAAGGACACAGTAAAAGCCATATGGTTGCTTCTTTCTCCAATCTTGTTCGTGTGTGCAACGTAACTCTACACACTGACGAGAAAATGCGATTGAGAGTAGTGATTATATAGATTATACTGATATCAAACAACAACTTTGGCATTTCTTTCTACCCTCTTTGGAATTGGCTTGGCATTTTCTAGCTCCTAGGTATCAAGCCCCACAGCCACTCTCGAGCTTTAGTAGTTGTTTTTCTGGGTCGTAAAGAAGAGATACGAGATGGCCCCAGTTTTATTGCTTGTCTGCTTCACTTCCCACTTTTGTTCTAATTTCCCACCCTACACCATCAAAAGCTATATAAGCCCTGGACTGGACGATCCCCATTTGAAATGGGAAAGAAGATTTGAGGTCCCTTTAGTTTTCTATCTGCCCTGCTTTTTGTTGGAATTTTAAGGCCCTCAACAAACTCACAATATTAGTTTCGGATTCATTGGGTTAGCCTTCAATGTTGGCCCCTACACCCTCCTACCAGGATTGCAGACTATCCCACTTAGTCAGTGTGAAAATACGTAAAACTCGTATTTTTTATTATTGTAAATGGGTACTCCAAAATTGCAAGTACGAGTTTCAACATTTGAAAATAGGTATGAGAATGATTTAGTGAAATCCGTCCCAGGCATTCTATTATCATACAAACATAGGATTGGTAATAATGGTAATTGACTGACTTGCTGGTAATACCACTATTCTAGGTCCCAGTTTTGAATCCCTCTAGTAGTACTCAATAACAAAAAGGAAAATATATAATATATCACTCTTAAAAAAACCCTTTATCATCTCTCTTTAATATTGCAGGCTAGGCCATGCAATTATATTACCTCCATTTTAGCGTCAATTTATCTCGATTTCAAAGAAGTGGATGGTTATCACTAAAGCTTGCCCTTTTAAATAGTGTTCAATGAGAATGTTGTTGGGTGATGGATTTATGTTAATTTACACTAGTGTTATGCAAACAAGATTTTATCCAACGCAATAGGGGGATAGGAAAAAAAAACTGACGGTATATAATTCGAGTTGTTTTCGACCGTAGTCATTAAGTATGAACATAATCACCTTCCTCGTGTTTTAATTTGCAACAATTATTTTTTTAATTGACATTTTCAATTTCCATAATAGTACTAGAAGCGGTCAAATTAACCCCAATATGATCACTAAACCAAACTCCAACAAACCCAATATAACCTCTGTCCTCTGCCATAACAACTAGCCAAGTTGGTCATTTAAGACCGACTAGCCAACGTCTCATGAATAGAGAGATGAATTTGGGTTAAGCTACCAGAAGAATCTGCCCCAATTAATTAAGCAACAACCCTCCATTAGAAAGTGCCAAGAACTGAACCATCCAGAGTACTATCCAACCTGAAATAATTGCACATGCCATATCACATCCCCCTATTCTTAGGAAATCTTTGCTAAATATTTCCGTGACCAAACAAAACCTACTCAAGATTGTTGTCTAACCAAAAAAAAAAAAAAACCCCTACTAAACATTTGTTTGGACGAGTTGAAACCACTGGCTGGTGGGATCTTTCTCAGGATCGTCAGAATCAAACTCAAGGCAACCATCTTCACCATCACCACGATCACCAAGGCACATGCACCTCCTAGTGAAAATGCTGTTGGTGTAACGAGATTCCTTGTATAAGCACAAGTAGCCCCCATTTTGGTCCTTGGCAGCCAACAGAAGCTTCGAGTTGGAAATCCTTGTCCAAGTGCTACGTGGGCTGTTGCAGTTGGTTGTGAATTTAACTCTCTGTAGATCGCCGGCGGCCTCCAGGCAGAGGTGGCTCCGGTTATGTAGCCTGATCGGAGACCCATCTCCGTCGTGTATCCATCTGCTTATGTTGCTGGCCTTGCAGTCTCTGGCGTAGATTTCTCTGTCTCCGGCGGCCTGCATGCAGCTCCCTGTTTGTGGGTGGAACATCAAGTAGGACGTTCGATGTGTTGATGTTGGTTCTGCGGTGTGTCATCATCATCAAAATTATGTTCCGTCCAGATCGAAACAAAAATTGAAATATTTCTAATAATACAAAAAAATTACGAGTTCATCATGAAAGTTTAGTTGTTAGATCAAAACTCAACTTAGAAATTAATGCGTAATTTAGCTAGCTAGCAATCGGGAGGTCAATTTTCAACTAACGATTTGTACCCAAAGCATGTTACATAGTTGAATAACTGACAATCTCATGAATGACTATTTGATTGGATATATTGAAGGAACTGTAATTTTATAATTGAATTAAAAAACTTATTCATAAATGAGACCCCACTAAATTTCAACTCCTACTGCGTAATTATAGCTTATTGTTTTTGCTAGTCATAAATCTCATCATTCATAAACCATTTCACATGTAAATACTTCATAAAATAAACTACGAGCTATATAGTAACACATACCTTGGACCTTGCTCTTGATCAAACCCAACCGGTTCTGCAAGTAAGGGTTCTTGACCCGGCCCCAATAGTAATCCAACACACCAAAAGTCTCCTCAGCGTTGGTTTTGTTCTTGTCCCTCAAATAGTAATTCCCTTGCAAACCCCAAATTCCCCAGTCCATGTCCATCCCAGCGGCCCATGACAGGAAGCAAGACCAGAAGTAGTCGCCCGACCGGTTCAACCCTCTCTGGTCCGTCCCGACTTCCCCAACAAAAATCGGAACCGGGTTGCGGTCCAGAGTGTTCATGAAAGCGGTCTGGTTAATGAAGTAATTGAGCTTCCACGGGCAGAGATGGTTCAGCGGCTTTTCGGTCCAAACGGTTTGCTTCTCCCAACTCCAAGGGTACCAATGGGCCTCGTAAACCAGCTTGTTCCCGAACGTCGAGCCCAACGGCTTTTGCTTCAGAAAAGTCAAGTCGTTGGCGTACTTCAGCCCTCCGATGAATAAAAGCACGTTTGGGTTGGACTTGTGGACCTCCGTTGCGGCCTTCTTCATGTAAAAGTACCAATCGTGGGCATTCTGGCGTGGGCCTCTGAGCTCGTTTCTCAGGCCCATTGCCACCACCTGAGGCTTATCTCTGTAGAGCTTGGCGACGATCCTCAAGCCCTCCAACCACTCCCGCGGATCGAAGAACTTGTCGCCGAAGAACCCATTCCCGTCGTGGGCCGCGCAGCACCAGCTGGGCCTGCTGACGTGATTATCGAGATCCACCATGAGCCCCTGGGCGCCCATCTCGTCCACCACGGCCTGATGGGCCTGGACGAGGGTCAGGCCCAGGAGGGAAGGGTTGTAGTGGGCTATCCCGGCCTTGGCCTCGGTCAGTTTGAGCCCGTCGAACGACTGGGCCACCGTGCGGTTGGCGAAACGTGTGAACATGTGGGTGGCGAAGGTGAAACGGACGCAGTTGAAGCCGTTTCGGACTACGGACGAAACGATTCGCGGGAGCGGCTGCATGTGTAGGCCTTCGGCCAGCATGGTTTCCAAGTGGGATGGCCAGTTGACGCAGGCGAGCTTGACTCGCTCCCGAGTCGCCGAGTCGACTATCCATCTGCTGTTTGTTGAGAGCGGGAGCGGGAGTGAAGTGGGGACTAGGAAGGAGAAGATTATGAAGAAGAGAAAGGGGAGAGGTTTAAAGGGTTTAGCCATCTTAATTAGATCTTTAATTAGTTACTAATCAAACAATTATCTAGCTATAGCTTATATATATAGGTTGGTTCGGCGACGTTCGTGGATATAGGGGATATTGTTTAGATGTGGATATCAGGTGGTTTCCCCATTTTTCCTTAACGAATGGATATTAGATACGTTTAGTGTAATCTGTTCACTTGTGTACTTTATCTCTCTTTGGATAATCGTGTTTGTTACAATATTATGTGGATTCTCTTTGATACTTGAGCAAAATCATATTTGGAGAAAACAAATGTTAGTAAAACGGAAATGATCATTAACCGAACAAAAGACGATTGGAAGAATGGACTAAAAGTTTACCGATTATTCTAATCTTAAATTTGTATAAAATTTATGGGATTTCCTATAGTAACTTGGGTATTTTCAAGTTAGGTAACTTGCATAGATCTAAACCGTTAAAATTGACCACACTTATTTTAAACCATTGATTAAAAAAATTAAAAAAATAACTAAAAAAATAAATGACAACATGAGTTGCGGGTCACTACATGTCCAAGTTACCTTTTTAAATTTTTTCTTTCCTTTTTCACATTTAGTTGTCTTTCCATATTTTAACCTTTCCTTTTTTAATTCTTATTGAATTTTTTCACATTTAGTTGTCTTTCCATATTTTAACCTTTCCTTTTTTAATTCTTATTGAATTAGAAGCGTTACGTAAAGCTTCCGTAATAACTTAGCTCTTTACGTAACACGACGTTAATACTCATTACGTAAAGAGACCTTCTATCACGTAAGGCTTCCGTAATGATATTTTACAACCGTTACGTAAAATACACATTCACTACGTAAAGGTTACGGAATGATAGTTATTTCTTACGTAACAGTTAAATCGGAAGCGTTACGTAAGGCTTCCGTAATGACTTAACACTTTACGTAACGCAAGGTTAATACTCATTACGTAAAAAGACCTTCCATTGCGTAAAGGTTACGAAACGACATTTATTTCTTACGTAACAGTTAATTCAGTAGCGTTACGTAAACGTAAGACTTCCGTAATGACTTTGCATTTTACGTAACGCGAGGTTAATACTCATTACGTAAAGACACATTCTATTACGTAAGGCTTCCGTAATGATCTTTTACAACTGTTACGTAAGATTATCATATGTTACGTAACCATTACGTAATGCCTATTGTGTTTTACGTAATACGACCTGTGAAACCTGCTATAGCAGGTAAAAAAATTTGTTACCTTACTTCAAGTTACCGTAGGAAATTCCAAAATTTATTTGTAATAACTATATTTCAAAATTGAGAGGGCTACCACCCCTTCTGAATTCAACCCAGCAACGTACCGGACAAAAGCTATCTTCTCTTTTCATCTAACCTAGTTTCTAATTGTCATAGTGCGCTATTACATAGTACATTTATACACAATAATTTAGCTGCTAGAACCCTAACATAGTAACATGAGACTAGGGCCGAGCTAGTTCACTTAGAGGGCCTTACAACTCGGTTAATGCAATACAAATCACAATAGGGTGTAAATAATTGTAATGATCGCATTATATAATAAAAATCTCCCATGCATCCGATCACATAGAGATAGCATAAACATTACAGGGTGTGATCCCATTTGCCGCGTCAATGAAATAGAAACGAAACGACCGACGAATCTGTTCCCCACATAACGTGCCACTCACATTCTCATCAGGGGGTTTCTCCAGTCCCGTATCTGCTCTTCACGTCGCAGCACTTAATTATCATCATGATTCATTAACAGCCAGCCTGAAAACCAATAATTGGTTCAATCATCAATGGCTATGAATTGGTAGAAAACTTGAACCATGCACGTCGCAGGCTACTTCCATCATATATAAATAGAGGGCACAGCATACATTGGCAAATCATCAAACTCCCAACCATCCCCTCATCATTTCTTTCTTCTTACCACAAACACCAATTTCTCACCACAACAAAGTTGAGATGGCTGTCAGCCATTTCTATGTTCTTCTCTTGTCCATGATACTCGTGGGGGCCTCGGCCGCTGGTGACTACTCTGCGAGCTCCAATGCCGCCGGAGAAGTTGCGAAACCGCAATCCAAAGCTCCGTCTGCATCTTACGACAAGCCAGTTGCTCAAAAGATGCCTAAAGGAGCAGAGGAATCGAAAAAGCCAACGTTGGAAAGCGATCCGAAATCAGAGTCCTATGTTGAGCATGGGTTTCAGCACAGTGGTGATGTCGAGAAGCCAGATTTTCATTTCTCCGACATGACTCATTCGGAAGTCCACTCAGAATCTTACGAGAAGCATGTTGTTCCATCAATGCCCAAACCGGAAGAATTGGGGATGCCCGAGTTGGAGAAGGATCCAAAGTCAGAGTCCTACGACGAGCCCAAATTTCAACATAACGAGGCTATCGAAAAGCCAGATTTCCATTTCCCCGACATGCCTCATCACCAAACTCATTCCGAATCTTACAAGAAGCCAGTTTCTCAATGGGTGCCCAAACCAGAAGAATCGGAGATGCCCGCATTGAAAGACCCGAAATCAGAGTCCTATGCCGAGCCCAAATTTCAACACAACGAGCCCATCGAGAAGCCGGACTTTCATTTCCCCGACATGCCTCATTCCACGATCCATTCTGCATCCTACGATAAGCCTGCTGCTCAATGGTTGCCCAAACCAGAAGAATCAGGGATGCCCACATTGGAAAAGGATCCAAAATCAGAGTCCTACGACTCGAAGCCAGTTAGTGACCACGACTCGAAGCCCAAATACAAGGTAGACCCACACTATGAAACACCCAAACTGAATATTCCAAAGCCAGAAGAAGCTTTTCCCGCCGCAGTTGAAGGGACTGTAATTTGCAAATCGCCATCTGGATATGTCCCCATCGAAGGTAAACTTACTTTACACCTACTTTAACTTCATTAAATTTCATTCTAATGATTGCATTCTTATAGAGTTTTTAACGATTTTCAGGAGCCGTGGTGAGGATTACGTGCTTGCAAGAGGACGACCAAGGATATGAAACGACTCCAGTGTCGTGTCAGACCGGTCCGACCGATGCCAAGGGCTATTTCTTCAAGACTCTACCTTCTAACAACAAGGCAAAAAATTTGTGGGAAAATTGCAAGGCTTTCCTCGAGCAATCTCCAGTGGAGGAATGTGGAGTCCCAAGCAATGTGAACAGAGGAATCGATGGTTACAAGCTATCCTCTCACCACATCCTGCAAGAGAAGCATCTCAAGTTGTACTCGGTTGGGCCTTTCTTCTACACTCCGGAGCCTAAACCAGCCGTGAAGAAAGCACCCGCAGCCGGTGGTGGCTACTAATTTTTTCTTTGCATGGCCCTGAGTTTTGGGTTATGTGCTCAACAAATTTTCCTTACTTCATTTTCTGTTTCTTTGGTTTGATTTTGCTTTCTGATTCAATTATGTGATCTTAGCAACAAAATTTACGTTGGAGCTTGGATTGATTTTCATTTGATTAATTTGTATCGGTTTCGTTTCAATTTCAATGAGAAGAATTCTCAATGCTTTAATTAATCTCCTTTAGATGTTGGGTTGGGTTGGTGCATCATGCATGTGGGTTAGAGTAGGTGGGAAATGAAATTGGAAAAAGTTATTAAATTATTCAATTTGGGTGTGGGTTAATTAAAGCACTGTGTGTTGAGTCAATAGCAACACAAACCTCTATAAATAATAGTTTGTATTATTAATTTATCACTCTAAAATATATCGTATAAACAATGTTTTGTCGCTTTTTAGTTTGGTGAAGACGAAAAGATGTCGCGACATGAAAGGTAGTTGTTGGTGAGATTCGTGAAGATCAACAGGTCGACAATACTGGCTGATGGATCAACCTTTCAGGCACAGTCACAAGTTTTTTCATCCAATCTAGCTTCTAATTAATGGTCTATTATATAGTACATATATACATAGCAGTAAAAATCGGGATTTTAAGTAAAATCGATAAAGGAGGTAAAATCAGAATCGTAAAATCGTAGGATTTTAAGGTCCATAAAAAAATGAAGAAGAAATAATATTAATAAGGAAAATCATGAATAACACAACAACACATAACAAATGATAATTTCTCAAGATTAATATTCTGATTTATCAAGGATAATGTTGGGAAGTGGTGAATCGATTATGATTAATACGTTGCTGTGAATTGATAATAGTTGATGGTGGTTAATGTGCGAAAACTAGATGATGTAGGTGGAGGAGAAGGAAATAGGCGTAATTTTGCAAATTCTGGAGGAAACAAAGTAAAATTGACTCAAAAATTTGAATCGTAAAATCGCAAAATTTTAAAGATTTTAAGGATTTAAATCATGAATAGTATAGGATTTTAAGATTCATAAATTTTATAGTGAAATCAGAATCGAAACAAGTAAATAAAATCGTAAAACCGTAAAATTTTATAATTTAAATCGAGATTTTGAATGCTTTGCATATATACATAAAAAGTTTAGGGCCGAGCTCGGGCTACTACTCGGTTTAATGCAACATAAAGTACAATGGGCTCCCTTCGTATGGGCTATATAATAAAAACCTCTCATGCACCCAGAATTCCAGATAGAGACATTACAGTAGGAATGATAATGTATATGTTCGGCGGTATCTCGTTACTCATATCCGCTCGTGGCAGGTCGGGTCTAGGTTAGATATTTTATTATGGGTTGTGAGTCGGGGCAGGTCGACCCAATGAGTATACAATTTATATGGAAAACATTAGAAATATTCATTATAAAACAAAGAAAACAAATCATATTATAATAAATATAGTAAAATTATTAGAGAAATTGAGGTTTTCACTAATTTACAACTTTATTATAGCTAAAATATAATAATGTAATAAAAGGAAAATTCTAAGCAATTTGATTAAGATTACATGTAATTTAGACAATAACAGGTTAAGAATGGGGCGGGTCAGAGCAGGTCGGGTCGATGAGAGTACCCATGTCCGCCCCGCTCCGGTTACGAGACGAATCAAACACGACCCAAAACAGACCAAACAGATCGGATAAAACGGGCCAGGTCAAAATTGTTATAGGAGTGATGCCATTTGCGTCAGTGAAATAGAAATGATTGACGAATCTTTTCCCCACATAATCTTCCAACGTGCCACTCACATTCTCAGGTGGTCTCTCTTAAGTCTCTAAGTATCTGCTCTTCACGTCGCAGCACTCAATTATCTCCCACATGTGTCACGACTCTCTATCACCATGATTCATTAACTAACAGCCTGAAAACCAATAATTGGTTCAATCATCAATGGCTATGAATTGGTAGCAATAAACTTGAACCATGCACGTCTCACCTACTTCCATCCCATATAAATAGAGGGCACACAGCATACATTGGCAAATCATCAAACTCCCAACCATCCCCGCCCTCATCATTTCTTTCTCCTTATACCACAAACACCAATTCGATCTCACCATATAACAAAGTCGAGATGGCTGTCAGCCAATTCTATGTTCTTCTCTTGTCCATGATACTCGTGGGGGCCTCCGCCGCTGGTGACTACTCCCCGAGCTCCAATGCCGCCGGAGAAGTTCCGAAACCGCAATCCAAAGCTCCGTCGTCTGCATCTTACGACAAGCCAGAGCCAGTTGCTCAAAAGATGCCTAAAGCAGAGGAATCGGGAAAGCCAGCGTTGGAAAGCGATCCAAAACCAGAGTCCTACGATGAGCATGAGTACTTTCAACACAGTGGAGATGTCGAGAAGCCGGATTTCCACTTCCCCGACATGTCCCATCCGGAACTCCACTCCGAGTCTTACGAGAAGCATGTTGTTCCGTCGGTGCCCAAACCGGAAGAACTGGGGATGCCAACATTGGAGAAAGATCCAAAGTCGTCAGAGTCCTACGACGAGCCCGAATTTGAACATAAAGAGACTATCGAAAAGCCAGATTTCCATTTCCCCGACTTGTCTCGTCACGAAACTCATTCCGAATCCGACGATAAATCGGTTTCTCAATGGGTGCCCAAACCAGAAGAATCAGGAATGCCTGCATTGGAAAAAGACCCAAAGTCGTCAGAGTCCTACGATGAGTCCAAATTTCAACACAATGAGCCCATCGAAAAGCCGGATTTCCATTTCACCGACATGCCTCATCCCGAACTCCACACTGAATCTTACAAGAAGCCAATTGCTCAATGGTTGCCCAAACCAGAAGAATCGGAGATGCCCGCAATGGAAAAGGATCCAAAATCAGAGTCCTACGACTCGAAGCCAGTTAGTGACCACGACTCGAAGCCCAAATACAAGGTAGACCCACACTATGAGAAGCCCAAACTAAACATTCCAAAACCCGAAGAAGCTTTTCCTGCCGCAGTTGAAGGGACTGTAATCTGCAAATCACCCTCTGGATATGTCCCTATTGAAGGTAACTTACACTACATCTACTATCTAAGATCATTACATTATATTCCATTCTAATGATTGCATTCTTATAAAGTTTTTTTTTAACGATTTTCAGGAGCCGTGGTGAGGATTACGTGTTTGCAAGAGGACGACCAAGGATACGAAACGACTCCAGTGTCATGCCAGACCGGTCCAACCGATGCCAAGGGCTATTTCTTCAAGACTCTACCTTCTAGCAACAAGGCCAAAAATTTGTGGGAAAATTGCAAGGCTTTCCTCGAGCAATCTCCATTGGAGGAATGTGGAGTACCAAGCAATGTGAACAGAGGAATCGATGGTTACAAGCTATCTTCTAACCACATCCTTCAAGAGAAGCATCTCAAGTTGTACTCGGTTGGGCCTTTCTTCTACACCGCGGAGCCTAAACCAGCCGTGAAGAAAGCACCCGCCGCCGGTGGTGGCTACTAATTTTTTTTCTTTGCGTGGCCCTGAGTTTTGGGTTGTGTGCTCAACAAATTTTCCTTACTTCATTTTCTGTTTCTTTGGCTTTGATTTTGCTTTCTGATTCAATTATGTGATCTTAGCAACAAAATTTACTTTGGAGCTTGGATTGTTTTTCATTTGATTAATTTGTATCGGTTTCGTTTCAATTTCAATGAGAAGAATTCTCAATGCTTTGCTTACTCTCTCCTTCAGACGTTGGGTTGGGTTGGTGTTTTAGTGGGTTAGAGTAGGCGGGCAATGAAATTTTTAAAAAGTTGTTAAATTACTCAATTTGGTGGTCGGGCAACAATATGTTCGATTTAACCGTAACCTAGAATTCACAAAACAATGATCATAATATTTTGCAAACAAAAACCGTTAATTGCTTCTTGAAAACAATTGACTAGATAAAACAACTGTACCATAACAAAGAGAAATAGTCATCCACCGGTTGACCATTATCTTATTAGTATTGGAACATGATTCCGCTACTAGGAAGGTTTCAATACTAAATTAGGAGGCTACCATGCACTTAACTCAAGTAAATAGCAACACAAACCTCTATAAATAACAATCTACGATATTAATTTATCACTCTAAAATCGTGCAAGCAAAAATTTCTGGCGTTGAGTTTGGCGAATAAGAAAAGATATTGGGACATTTAAGGTAGTTGTTGGTGAAATATGTGTAGATCAACAGGTCGACAACACCAACTGTCGTGTCGACCTTTCAGGCGCAATGACGATTTTCGTTGTCTTTAGACTTTAGAGCACTTCCTACGACATTGAATTGATGCATGAAGATAATTTTAACCCTAACCAGTCAACCTTTTCATGGTGCGGTTAACCAATTTATTTTAGAACATCGACCTTTTCATCATTAGGTCGACCACAAAATATAGGTTGATCATTTTATCATTTATAATGGTTAAGTATCATTGTAATTATATCATTCGATCGAATGTTTTGTTCAAGTCCGATGACTTGGAAGTCACCATATTTATATTTCAATATACAATTGAAATTGATTAAATTAACCATAATAAATAATTGTAGTCTCGTTTTCAGTAAAACCCGTATCGGCCAGTATATCATTAGTTTTCAATTATTTAACTGCATCAAATTGACCAAAACAAAATTTCACACGATCACTTTGAAGATGATACACAAATTTTATGTTTCGACTAGCTACTCCATCCAATACCGCACGGTTATCATATAAAATCCACATCCATCAATATACTACTGTTGCTCTGACATGTAAATAAATATACCTTCCAATAAAAAGTCAATTAAAGTTCTTACCTAAACGAAATCACACCTAGATAAAGCACTATGAAATTAAACATACTTACTGTGAAACAATGCAAGAATATGCGCGACCTTTCAAAAAGTCACCTTAATAAACACCACAAAACAAAAACCATGCGACGAGGGCTGTTTCTAAATTTCAGTTTGCTGGGAGAAAGAAAAAAGTCATTCATGAGGCAAGTTTAATCGCTAATGAAGCAATTGATAGCCGGAAACGAAGTGGGAAGGCTGGAATTATTTTGAAACTCGATATTGAGAAGGCGTTCGATTCTGTTAGTTGGGAGTGTTTGAGACGAATTTTGAGGAATATGGGAATGAGCACAAAGCTGGAAAAGTGGATTATGGGGTTAGTGTCCTGCTCGAAGTTGTCAGTTCTGGTTAATGGTGAGTCATCTGGTTTCTTCAACATGGAGCGGGGTCTTAAGCAGGGCGATCCCCTCTCCCCCCTCTTGTTTAGCTTCGTGATGGATATCTTGTCCTTTATTATTGAGACTATGCAGGAGGCGGGATTTATTGAGGGGTTCCATATGGACGAGGATGCAATGCGAGGGCAGGTGTCTCACCTCCTGTACGCTGATGATGCTATAGTTTTCTGCAATGCTACCGAGGAGGAAGCTTTCAATCTGCTGGCAGCATTGTTGTGTTTTCAATCTTTCACTGGACTCAAAATCAACCTTGACAAAAGCAAAATCTTTCCTGTTGGTGAAGTGGAAAACATTGGCAGACTTGCAGAGATTATTGGGTGTGATTGGAGTTTCCTTCATACAGTGTATCTTGGGCTACCGCTTGGAGCGCATCCTACATCGACGACAATTTGGGATAGCATTCTTTATAAAACTCAAAAGAAGCTAGAAGGGTGGCAAGGTAAATATCTTTCTTTGGGTGGAAGAGTTATCTTGTGTAATGCAGTGTTAGCCAGCCAGCCTCTCTACCAGTGCTCCCTTTTTCGTACCCCAGCCTCTATAATTACTAAGTTAGAGAGGATCCAGAAAGATTTTATTTGGTCAGGGACAAGTCAAGAGAAGAAGATTCACTTAATGGCTTGGGAGACTTGCAAATTGCCAAGGAAGTTTGGTGGTTTGGGCATCACTGATTTGAAGTTCCGGAATACTGCTTTGTTGGCTAAATGGCTTTGGAGGTTTGGCCACGAGAGGGATGAATGGTGGAGGGAACTGATCAGCATCAAATACCCTCACAAAGCTTCAGAGTGGATTTCGGGTGACCATAAAGGATCGATGGGTTGCAGCCCATGGTCTCAAATTCTAAAAGTTTCAAAAGATTTCTGGAATTTTGCTTGGGTGGAACCAGGTGGAGGAGCTTGGGTGTCATTTTGGTACGATGTTTGGATTAAAGGCCATCCCACGCTTGCTGAATCCTTCCCAAGAGTGGTCGCTGCTGCTGCGTCGCCGATCTGTCACATCACCGATATCCTGCTTAATGGGGAGGGATCCTTTTCTTGGAATTTGATTCTCAAACATGGGTTGAGGGGTGGTGCTGAGAGTGAGAGAGTTAACCTTCTGAATTTACTTCATAATCTTCCTTCTAGTTTGTTCTCTGCAGGACCTTCGAGACTGTGTTGGGAGCCATCACCGAGTTCTGGCTTCCGTGTGAGATCAATGTATGAGAGTTTGATTGGCGGCCAAAACAACTCTGGAACCGTGTTCCCGGTGGATGCGGTTTGGATGCAAGGCGTTCCTTTCAAAGTTTGTGTGTTCGTGTGGCTCGCGTACCATAATAAGATTTTGACCCAAGACAATTTGAAGAAGCGTGGATGGGCGATCCCCAATCGCTGCGTTCTGTGCTGCAAGGAAGAGGAGAGCGTGGATCACTTGTTCTTGACCTGCAGCTTTACTCTGAGTGTTTGGCAGATCATGAGGAGGTACATTAAGCTTCCCACAGCTGTGGATTCGAGCTTGCCTGCTGTGATTAGAACATGGAGCCGGAAAAAACCAGAATGTCCGCAAGAATGGTGCACCAGAATTTTTTTGCACGCTTTGTGTTGGCGGTTATGGCGAGAAAGAAACAGCAGAGTCTTTAGGGATGAAGGGCAGTCAGTCATTGTGGCTTGCTTTAGAATTGGGAGAGACATCTCGGACTGGTTATGCGCAAACAAGAAGGTGGATAGAGTCGTTGCTGATGATTGGCTGAGGATTCTCAAAATGCAGCTGTTGCCAAGAACAGGGGCTGTTGTTCAGCAGCTGCAGTGAGGGTTTCGTTGCGCTGCTGCGTTGCTTTGTTTCCTGCAGCGTTCTGTTTGTTTTTGTTCTCCTTGTTTTGCTGTGCTGAAGGTTTGCCTTTCCCCTGTTCTGCTGCTAGCATCGGGACCTTCTGCTTTGGTTTTGGTCTTGTCTCTTTTTTCCTTTGTTGTATCCTCCTGTGTTTGCTTTTTGGAGGAACTTTTCTCTAGCTTTTAATTCTTATTTAATAATATATTTCACCTTTATCAAAAAAACCATGCGAGTCTAAACCAAAAACAAACCATATAGTCAGAAAAATGTTTGCGATATTCTTCTAACCTGTCCAAAAAAAAAAACGATCGTCTTCTAACAACACATATATTTGTTAATTAACGGCCATATGTTCCTGAAGGTGAGAGAAAGCACTATTATCAATATCAGTATAGAAGTTGGACAACCAAATCGCACAAGAAGGATCTTCCTATCCAGATAACTGGGAATATTATTGATTGACACGCGCTTGCTTATTTAGAACTCAGTTCCAACGTGCCACTCATGCATATATGTATATATGCATTCTCATGGGATCTCTCTGGACTTCTTTTTGCTCCTCACGTCGCATGAACTTACCTCCCACATGTCACGTCTTCAACTAAATTTCAGCTTTCTTCCAAATATCGAAACCAACATCCTATATATATATAGATCACGGCATAAATGTTGGTCTCTCATCACACTCCGATCGCCACTATTCTCCTCTTTGCTTTCTTCTCAACACAACACCAATAAGTCTCACATTACAGAAGAGTCCAAATGGCTTCTAACCCTTTCGTCGGCGGAGTTTGTGTCCTTCTCTTGTCCATGATACTCGTGGGAGCCGCCTCCGCCGCCGATGATTACTCCTCCAGCCCCGAAGCTCCAAAAACTCAACCCAAAATTCAGTCTGGATCATACGAGAAGCCAGTTGCTCAGTCAATGCCTAAACCAGAAGAATCGGTAAAGCCAACTTTGAGAAAAGACGCTAGCTATGGCGCTGAAGAAGGTTCAAAATCTCAACCCAAAATCCAGTCTGGATCATACGAGAAGCCAGGCGCTCAGGCTGTGCCTAAACCAGAAGAATCAGCTTCAAAACCTCAACCCAAAATCGTGCCTGATTTCTACTCGAAGCCTACTTACAAAGCAGACCCACACTACGAAATGCCCAAACTAAGCATCCCAAAGCCAGAAGAAGCTTTTCCTGCGGCCGTTGAAGGGATAGTTATCTGCAAATCATCCTCCGGATATGTCCCCATCAAAGGTAACTTAATTATTACACCTAATGCTATGAATTATGATGTTCCTCGCCCCCACGTACAAGATCGAGCTCGTGTGATTTATCGTATTCTAATAGTTGTGTGATTTTTCATATTTGAACCGTTCATCATCAGGAGCCGTAGTGACAATCACGTGTTTGAAAGTGAACGAGGAAAGATATGATCATGACAAGACTCCAGTGTCATGTCAATCCAGTCCAACGAATGCCAAGGGCTATTTCTTCAAGACGCTACCTTCTAACAAAGATGTCAAGAAGAATTCATGGGAGAACTGCAAGGCTTTCCTCGAGCAATCCCCAATGGAGGAATGTGGAGCCCCAAGCAATGTGAACAGAGGAATCGAAGGTTTTCCACTGTCTTCTCATCGCATTCTGCAAGATAAGCACCTCAAGTTATATTCAGTTGGGCCTTTCTTCTATACTTCGGAGGATAAACCAACCATGAACAAAGTCCCCGCCGGTGGCTATTAATTTTTCTCAATTTCTACTTTTTCGACTTTGATTTTGCTTTCTCGATTCAATTATTTATTTTACTCAATCTCCCTGTGGCGGAGTTTGAATCATTCGATTGATTACTTTGTTTTTGTTTCATTTGTTGGTTATCTCATGTTGGGTTTTCCCAGTTTGTTAACTATTTCAAGTCATGTAACATGAATTGTAGATTTAATTCAATGAGAACAAATTAAACTCGATGCTTGCCTACTTTTGTTCATTCTTCGTCTTATTATTTTGAAGGGATTTATGTGGATGGTATGTCTATATCACAATTTTGACAATAAACATATTACACTTTTGATATGATCAATTTATTTGATTTCGAGTTAAATTGTGACCTATCTAAGCATTTACTCAAGGCTCATGTGCAAAAAATTGCGGGTAATTAGCATAAATGGTAACAAACCTTTGCACTTAGTACAAAACGGTCACAAACCTTTAATTTGTAACAATACGGTAACAAAACTTTGAAATTGTATAAAATGGTCACCGCTATTTAATTTGTGACTGTTTTGTTTTAAGTGCAAAGGTTTGTTACCGAATCGTTACAAATTAAATGTTTGTCATGTTTTGAGGTCGGGTAGTTTGTTCGTTAAGTATATGAAACTAACCACTTGAACGACATATAAGATGTCAGGTCATGTGTTCATCGACATATTTGCTTTGCCGAATAAGAATGCCCTCGAGTTGAACTTTCAATTTCGATACCAAGAAAGTAAGAAAGTAGACAGAGTTTTTTCAACTAAAAAGCAGTCCGGAACCCGTTTGTGAGCCATTGCCTTTCATTGTCATCCTTTATGACGATCATATCATTCACATACATTAACAAAACCACCATACAACTAGAGCGAATTGTAACGGTGATTGAGCGTTCAAACTTTTGAACTTAATTTGTACAAAACGGTCACCAAAAGTCTAATTTGCAACGACACGGTAACAAAAGTTTAACTAGTATGAAATGGTCACACTATTTAATTTGTGACCATTTTGTTCTAAGTAAAAAGTTTTGTTATCAAATGGTTACAAATTAAAGGTTTGTGACTGTTTTGTACTAAGTGCAAAGGTTTGTGACTATTTATGCTAATTACCCAAAAAAATTGATCATAATTACAAAAATATTCTTCCATTTTTTTAACCCTTACTGATCCCTTCCGTGAGTTCCACTCTACGAATTCCTATCAAAATCAACAAATCAACCTAATCAACCTATCTTTTTATCAAAAACGAAAAAGAATTAAAATAGCAAAGGTAATTAACTTTGTAATTACATTGTTTTTTTATTGAGTCAACGCCTAATTAGATGTGTCCAGTGAGTAATCGTGTCCTCGTTCAACAAAAGATTAACGGTCTTTTAACAACAAGGGTTACAACATGAAAATGTTTAGATTTGAAAGAGATGTTATGAAAAAAAACTAGTACACAGTTCATGGTAGGGAAACATTTATACCATTAATTCCAAAATTAAAGGAACTCCCTGGAGACTAATATTACGCGCGCTATGGGCTAGAAGATAGACGCACCAGTTTAGTTAGTATAAAGAACATTGGTCTCGACCAATTTGAACCACTGAGCAGTAGGCTCCAAATCCCCTCCATTCACGCACCCAGTTTCATACCCAACCAGGCACACGCACTTCCTAGTGAACACATCCGACGTGAAAACCGAATCCCGATTCAAGCAAAGATACTCTCCCGTCTTCTCCTCCTTCGCCGCAAGATGAAGCTTGGAGCTCGACACCCTCCACCACCTGCTCTCCGGCGCGTTGCACGCCGTCGTCAGCTGAACCCTAACCCCGTCCCCGCCGGCTCTTAGGCAGTAGTTGCTGCCGGCCAACATGATCGGCGACCCGTCTCCGGCGTACAGAAACCGGCTGCTTTCCCGCCCGCAGTGCCCGGCGTAGATCTCCCTAAGGTTGTTGTTGATCATGCAGTCTCCCGTCTGCGGGTGGAACAGCAAGTACGCTTTCCCCACTCGTGAAGTCGGATCTATAACATAACATATATAACTCAACATTAATATTAATTCCAGTGAATTATAAACTAAGTGGTCTCAATATTTGAATTATTGGAAGAAATTCAGGTATTTAACAAATTTCTTACACGTTACCTCAAATGAAAGTCAACTCATCATCTTGAAGTTTGCACGTAACTTGTCATATATGCTTTAATATAATGATTAATTCTGAGTTGTGCGGACTTGAACTTGTAATCTCAAAGACAAATCACTTATTATATCATGTCATAAACCAACTAATCTTCAATTATTAGGATCTATTAGTTTATAATATAATATAAAAACTGCTTTGTCATTAAAATCACCTATTATTCATGTCCTCTCCTCACGAACTCAAATATTAAGCATTGTGTTAAAATAACATATGCTGCAAAATATGATAAAGATAAAAGAATATATGAGAGAAGGTGATCTCTAGGTACCTTGGTTTTTGAGCTGCATAAGACGGAGCCTGTTCAAGAGGAAAGGGTTCCTGGGCCGGTCCCAGAAGTAAGACAAGGCCCCAAAATACTCATCCATCCCGGTCCTATTATCCCGGAAGTAATACCCGCCCTGCAATCCCCACCAGGCCCAATCCAGGTCATTCTCCGCGGCCCACGTGGCGAAACACGACAAAAAGTTGTCGCTCGACTTCTTCACCTCCGCCCCAGGTATCCCGACCTCGCCGACAAACAACGGCACGGCAGCAGAGCCGCCGGCCGTGAACGAGAACGCCGTCGTGTTGACGTATCCGTCGATCTTGGCACGGCAGAGCTGGTTGAGCGGCTTCTCCGTCCAGACCTTCTCCGGGCCGGCCGTGAACGGGTACCAGTGTGACTCGTACACCAGCTTGTTCCCGAAAGTTGTGCTCAATGGTTTCTTCTTTAGGAAAGACAGCACGGAGGCGTAGCTTATCCCTCCGGCGAATATCAGCACGTTAGGGTTCGCCACGTGGATCGCGTTCCCTGCTAACGTCACGTACTTACGCCACGTGGCCTCGCTCTGCCTTTCCCCCCGCAGCTCGTTCCTCAGCCCCATCCCTATCACCTGTTCACAAGTTTTATTTCCAAAATGTTTTCACTTTTCAGAATTCGGAGGGGGAACAGTAAAAATGAGTGGTTGTCGTTTCAATGATTAATCGTTATAAAACTGTTGAGTAATGGTTAATAGACTTGTTGAACCATTATAATATAAAAGACATATATATAATACATTAATTTAATTAGGAGTGAAATTATCACTAATCATAAAATATTCAAATTCATATTATCTGTTATGAAAAAATTCTAACAAGTAACAAAGCATTCAAACTATCTTACAAAAGAAATGATTAATTTCTATTAGATTCAAGTCAATAATAAGAGTAACAATCCATAATGAACCTGAACCAGATGAATCCGACAAGAAGGCTAAAAAATGAAGAAAGTAAACATAAATAAAATTAGTGATTGAGGATGAAATGTTTTAGCTCACGTCAATGCATTTTTTCCTTAAAAATATTTGTGTTTAAAATAGTATACTAATGAACCAGTTAAATTGGGACAGTTAATTTGGTTTCACGTCAAGCCGTTAAAAACCATTCGACCCATCTCTAATCATCCGATCGAATTACCCGAACTAATATTAGTATTATACATAATTTACTAATTCTACTAGCCAAACTCTTAATTTGATTTTGTTTATTATAACAAAGTTAATTCCGTGCGTGTAATATGACATTTGATTTAAACAATTTACGTGTACGTAAAAAGTCTTAACATGATTCTGCACCTGAGGTTTGTAGACGTAGCGTCGGGCCAGGACGGTCAACCCAAGCAACCACTCTTTCGGGTCAAAGTACGCGTCCCCAAAGAACCCATTCCCGTCCTTCTCCTTACAGCACCACATCGGCTTGCTGACGTGGTTATCAATATCAACCATCACGCCCTGCCTGCCGAGCTCGTCCAAAACGGCGTCGAACGCCTGGAGGTGCGTCATCCGCACGACCAGCGGGTTGAACCTCGCGATCTCGTCCTTAACCGAACCGAGACCCAGGCCGTCGAACGTGCGGCCCACCCGGTCGCCAGCGTGGCGGGTGACCATGTACGTGGCGTAGGTGAGCCGGACGCAGTTGAAGCCGAGCTGGCGGATGGCGGCCACGATGTTGGGGAGCGGCTGCCGGTCGAGGCCCTCGGGGAGCATGGTCTCGGCGGCGCCTGGCCAGTTGGCGCAGGCGAGCTTGACTCGCTGGCCGGTGGCCGAGTCGACGATCCAGCGGTTGTTGGTTGAGAGAGGCAAAGGGTGTGAGGAGAAAGGGAGGAGGAGGAGGAGGAGGAGGAAGGAGAGGAGTGGGTGGTGGTGGGTTTCCATTTTCGGTTGCGACGGTGAAAGAGTACGGGGATTTGTGGGGGGAATAAAAAGGTGTGTTGGAGGAGTGTGAAAGGCGGGTTGGTTCTTAGTTCTCGGGGGACGTCGTATATTTTCTCGGCTGCATGTGTGAAAGCAAGGTTGTCAACCCGCGGGTTGACCCGGACCCGGTCGAGCTAGTGGGTCAAGGGTTAATGGGTCAACCGTTTTAGCCCGGTTTGGCCCGGAAATATAGAAAGAGTCGTTATATTGTGCTTATCCTCATAAATTATATCAAATCTTATCTAACATATGAGTTATAACATATACAATTACACCAAAATAACATATCGTACTTAGATCCAACATATAGTGAAAATTCACACACACTTATATAACATAAATATTCAAATGTTCAACTTAGTATTCCAAAGATTGAGTTAGGCGAAAAGAAAAATTGGAAAATAGGCACATTTCGCAAACTAAAGAAAAAAATGACACAATTTGACCTCCAATCCGGTACCTTATAGCGGTCGGCCCGGCGGGTGCGTGCGGCCCGTTTTTCTCACCGGGTCAGGGTCAAATTGGGTTGACCCGTGGGTCAACCCGCGGGTTGACAACCTTGTGTGAAAGTATTCATAGGTGTATTTGTTTTTTTTTTAATTAGGTGCTACTAAAATATTCATATATGTGATTTTCATGTTCAAAATTGATGGTATTACTACTGGATTAGTGGATTAGATACTTGTTCGCGAATAAAAAAGAAATTTATGTTTGTTAACTATTTTGTTTATTTATATATCTTATGTGTTTAGTAGAAACAATTCGGATCCATATATATAATCACATCGATTTCATATTTGGTCTTAAACTCAAACGAGTTATATCTCTTTTAATGTCAATTTCTTAATTCAAAATATTCTTTTTAATCAATTTCGTGAAATTTTTCATGGCTTGTTCAATAGATTTGTTTAGCAAGAAATGAAAAGTATAAACTTGGTTGCGCAACCACTTAAAAAAAAGGTAGAGTAGTCCAAGAGATGATGAAAATATTCATCACATTTTGAGTTTGAACATTGACACCAACAATCATTTTAAATAAATGGTAGGATAAAGAGTCATAACTCTTTTAATATGAAATTCTTTATTTAAATATGAGAAATACAATAGTTTGTTGGATTTAAGCCACTTTTGAACCATTAGAATTATAATTTCTCGAGTTTTATTTTTCAACTTCTTCTTACTTAGATTTATGACTCCAGTACTATGACGTAAGAACTATATATTAAATCAGAAGTGAATAATACTAGATGGAATGAATATTTTATATGAGTATGATACTTAACTTTTTTTTTTCTGTCTAATTTGATTATGAACTGGAGCAACCAAGCAAACAAGTTATTATATACTAGTAATAAAAAAAAAATTATTAGATACTCAAAGATATTTGCTAGTAAAATCTATGAAAAAACCAAAAAACACACTCATTGCATGGTGAATCTCAATGACATCAACTATATCAACGTTCAGTTATGACCAAATGGATAAAAATTAAATACACATTTTTTGAAAAAGTGAAGATTCATTCTAGCTAGCCCTTAGGTCTTCCTGTTCCTGATATAATTTCAAGTTTTCAACGGATTGTTGTATATTTTTCTGAACAGCAAAAAACGCGGGCCCGCAATAAACAATGGGCCCCAAGCTACATAGAGACTAACTTGGGCCTTCAATTACAAATCTCGTCCATCACCTTCAACCGGGCCAAGCAGGCTCTCCCATTTCTCGGAAGTAATCCCGAACTAAATCGGCCCACTTCCTTTCCAATTGAGCGTCTCTCCAGTGATGGGGATTTTAGACCACCTAACGGATGTTCTGCTTCTGAGGTCGAGTTGTTGGCTTGTTTCAGGGACTTTTACACGGTTAGCAACCCATCCCCCGTTCGCCGGTGGCCGGCGATCCTCGAAATCACGGCGTAGGTGATCCGTACTTTCATTTAGTTCAAGGTTGCTCTCGCTTTTATGCTGGAGATTAGTAAAAAATGCCAGCAAGCGAGCTAGCTAAAGCTAAGCTAACCCCTTCTTACCTTTTTCATTCCCTTGCTGTCCTGTGCACTTTACAGCATAACTTGGTTTTCCCTTCCGTATGTGAATAATGATCAGCTTGTGGCCCTTTATTCAGCCTATCATAGTTCTTTCCTTGCTGTTCTACAGATGCAGTCCTGATTGCTTTAGGCTGATTGTTTTTGGTGAATTGGCATAATTTCCTACAATGGGTGGGTTGATTGATTAGTAAAGTTGTAAACTTGGAGGATTGTTGTTTGACAGTTCTGCCTGCAAGTTGCAATGCCCCCAGCAGAGTTTCGTTAATGATCTACGGGGGCGAATTTAGTAGCTTTTGGCTGTTGAAATGGGATGTGTTAGGATGGTCCTTCTGCTATAGTGTAGGGTTCCCACTGGCAGATTGAACTTAGAAGGCCAGTTCAGTTGGGACTTGGGAGGGTTTGTTTGTGTTGCTTCTGCTTCTAGTGTATATTCTACCAATCACTGAGATTTTCCCTCATTCCACTGATTGTATATGTGATGATTTTGTGTGGTAGCTTTATGGTACTGGTCTACATTTAAGTTCAGCCTAAAATAGCAATGGAAGTATCAAGCAGAGCAAGTTTTAGTACTTAGTGAAGCTCACTACTTCTTAGGTTTCGAAGGGTTGTAGTTTGGATTTCGATCACCAGTCACCAGGTAGCCATAATGCTCAACCTCAATTGGGCTCAAAAGTTAAAACTCAAGCAAAAGGCAAGTTGAGTAGCAGAGTTGCAAAGTTTCTTCTTTGCTGTTTTCATATCAGCATCACTGTGACAGTTGTGGTTCAGCTGGTGCTGTCAATGAACGGACTTCATAACTCGTTCAAGTTGCCACACAAAGCACATCTCAATACCTCATTAACACATTATGCATCATCTTTCCCTTTTCTCCACTCACTTGGAATTCCTTTTCCAAGGTTACCATCCTGGGTACTATCGATCCCAGCCTTTTCAAATCCATGGACAAAGTTAGTCCAGGACATGCTGCATCTCTAGCCTATCTATTCCCCGAGACTTCCCCCTTTGTGTGCATACTTGTTTAGTTCGAGAGCTTCATACCTTGGAAGTCCAGCATGTATTACCGGCAAGACCAGCTTGGCAAAGGTGAGAAAAAAGGTAGCTTAGGTGCCTGTTACTTTCTTGCCTCACATCGTGATTATGACTTGAGCTGTAAGGTTTTTCTTTAAGTCCATTGTTGCTGTCTGTAAATATAAAGAAGCAATCATCTTCAAAAAACCATTTTAACTGGGCCTACTCATAGGAATAGTTTTGTTACTTGTCTGCACTTGGTTGTTTCTTATTATCTTGGGACCTGGAGTAGTGAAGCAGGATATAGGGCCACCAAAACCATTTTGTTGTGTTGTTATTACCTGTGCAAGCAAAAGTAGCTCTTCTAAAGTGTTCTTTTTCCTTATTTCAGGCCTTTCTTGCTGTCTTCATACTGAATTCTTCATTTTCCTTGTGGCGTATACCAGAATGACCTGAACCAATGCTCCTTGTCCCCCCATACCCGGACCTACTTGGGGGTGAAAAAGAAGAACATTTCCTTGGTGGGTATTTGGAAGAGATATGAATCCATAACTTAGTGTGGTTGGTCGGTTCACTTACACAGTGAAATGGGTTAGATTTAGATCCATTGCATTTTGATCTTGATCAGGCAAAGGCGGATATAAGGTCCATCTTGCTACCTTTGAGTCACTGTCATGACCTCCTCCTCCCGACTTCTCCAGCCTTCTATAATCAATCATCTTTCCAAAACCTGAAGTTGGGTTGCTTTCATGACCTGAACATCTGTGGTACTTAGAACTGCAAAGAGTCTTTTGTATTCAATCACCATAAGTCGGGCAGAGATACGAGTTTTGCATTATGAATTATAATTAAACCGTATAAGTTTGTTCAGAGACATAATCATCTTGTTTTTCGTTCTTCCTCGTTTATTTTCGGCAAATGAATACTTGCAGGAGGTGGGTGTGTCCATTGCACTAGGAGCTAAGCAAAGAGTCATGTTTTGGGTGGTTTGAAAGTTTGAAAGTCATCCGTTATGATGCATTTTTGACTTATTGTTTCTTGTGTCCTAAGATTCATCACCCTATGGGAAATGACATCTCAAGGGCTCTTTCTCCTTAGCGATTAAGTATTTGGAATTCTCTGCCCATGCTTTATCCTCAACGAAAATGAAGTAGAAGAGCATCAAAATGAATCCATCATAGCCAATGAAAAAGATGGTGATAATTGAAAGATAAACCACCACGTGGCAGGAGCCTATAGGGTAGCTGGAGTCATTCCGGTGCACCCTAGCTGTACGCGCTACTTCGCCTTTACAAACGAAAAGACACGTGGAGCTCTCAACGTCGCAAGTTAACGGAGTCGGCCAAAAATTTCTGGACGGCGTCAATCCTCGGTCTTGTAAAAACCTGACCCGCCCTGCTAACACTTACGAACCTACTAGCCTCGGATCCCCACCGAACCAATCGACGGTCCAGATAAGTTTTCTGGATTTCAACGGCTAAGATCTGAATCCGTGCCCGAAAAACGCCAGGCGCCTTTCGTTTCGCCAAGTATATAGCGAGAGAAAGATTCAGAGGTAAGGAAAGGAGAAGAAAAGGAAAGAAGAAGAGAAAGTTTCCATTCACGTCTGCTGCGTGTTCTCCGCTCTCTTTTACCTGCTGCTTCGGGAGAGTTCTTAGGGTTTTTGAAGGGTTTTTTGGCAGCAATCGATCGCCATGGCTGAGCATCACGAGAAGAAGGAGGAGTCACTGATGGAGAAGATAGCGGACAAGATCCACGGAGGCGATGATTCGTCCTCGTCGTCGTCCGACTCCGATCACGACGACCATCCCAAGAAGTCGTCCTCGCCGGCTTCTCCGTCGTCGATGAAGTCCAAAATCAATCGTCTCTTTGGTCGCGAGAAGCCGGTTCACAAGGTTCTCGGTGGTGGAAAACGTAGGTTCCCCTTCTTATCCCACCTGGTTCTTCCATTATCATTCCTCCATTTCCAATGCTCAGTGCTTGTGTTGCATCTTTTATGCTTCGTGCATCGAAATTATTCTAGAGTCGAGCTTCAATTCGCTTGATCGGATCTCTGGAAAGGTGATTATGATTTTAGCCTGCTGTAGTGAATTGTAAGGTGCTGATTCTCCTGCTTTGAGCTTGAAATTTTGGAGGACTGATTTTTCCCTAGCTCATGGTAGTTGTGGACGAGCAGATCTGGTTCCTTTTCTGTACTTTTAGATCTGTGTCATTTGCTTTAAGGTTAATTAATTACGTTTACTTGCTTTTACCTTTTGGATCCATGATGCGATTAGTTCGTCTGAAAAGCTGGCTTTAGTTTGCCTTGTGTTTGCCCTAATCATCCTCCCACAAACGACTGCTCCCTTGTTTTTTATATGCCTTAGTCCAAAATAGCTCGAATTGGGCAATTTCATCTCAAATGAGTGTGTTGTCATGTAAATAGCTGCGGATGTTTTCCTGTGGAGGAACAAGAAGATCTCCGGTGGAGTGCTTGGTGGCGCAACTGCTGCGTGGGTGCTCTTTGAATTGCTCGAGTACCACCTTCTTACGCTGGTTTGCCATGCCTTGATCCTTGCACTGGCTGTTTTGTTTCTGTGGTCCAATGCCTCCGCCTTTATTAACAAGTATGGCCTTGTCATGCTACATACTTCAGATGAATATCTTGGGTTGTGGAAGGTATTTCATGATTTGCTTAGCTGACTGTGGTGTTGTTTTTGCTCCAGGACCCCTCCACGCATTCCACAAGTTCACATCCCTGAAGACCCAGTTCTGCAAGTTGCTGCTGCGCTTAGGAACGAGATCAATTGTGGGTTGGCTACTCTTCGTGAAATTGCATCTGGAAGGGATCTGAAGAAGTTCCTTGCTGTAAGTTATCATGTTTGCACTGTTCTTCTTATTCGCTTCATTTGGGTTCTAGCTTGCTTCAACTTCGGTTGCAGCCACTTAACTATAGGACTGCTTATGTGTGAGCAGATAATTGCTGGCTTGTGGGTCTTGTCTATCGTGGGGAGCTGCTGCAACTTCTTGACTTTGTTCTACATAGGTAACGCACTCACCTAACCATACTTTGATTTTCGCAAGTGCATTAGGAATCACCATATGTGTCGTGGGGTTCTGAACATGTCGTGATTTGTTACCCGCGTGCAGTTTTCGTGCTGCTCCACACAGTCCCAGTGTTCTATGAGAAGTATGAAGACAAGGTGGATGACTTTGGTGAGAAGGCATGGATCGAGATCAAGAAACAGTGGGCAGTGTTTGACGCGAAGGTGCTAAGTAAGATCCCCAAAGGCCCATTGAAGGACAAGAAGAAGGCTTAGATGATTTGAGTGGGGCGGTTCTAAAGTTGTGTGCTTTGTTCCTTGGAGTTCTGAGTTACTGACACAAGATTTGTTAGCCCGTATTTTGTGAAGGGATTTATTTGTGGAAAACTCTGGTCGGTACTACTGCATAGATCATCATCCCCCTTGCTTATTTCTTCCCCCCTCTGTTGTTTACCTTTGCCTTTTAGGTTGGTTGGTCTGTTGGGTTGTAGAATGTGGAATGAGAGAACGTGGGGAAGTAATACTTCTGTTGCCTTATACTTTTATGCAAGCAGCTTGTAGTTTTGATTGGTAAAACTCTTTGTCTACGGAAATTCTCTGCTTCTACATTGGGGTTTTACTTTCTAATGGTGCTTCGATCATTGTCAAATCTGAATTCACTTCACATTAGCTGTGTTCTAATACAGCAAACTGATGATCAATCTGGGTTTTAGAGTTTAATTGAGCTCCTTTACAGCTGAGCCGGCAGTGCGTTAGCTCAACTCGTGGAGCCTTTCTATGTGTGTTGGACACGAAGAGCTCCCATCCAACTCGTGGTGCTCCTGTGGTCCTAATCTTAATCTAAACTCAGGTAAGGATGTAATTTGTGCAAGAATGAGATTATGAAGTTAATTCTTGTCTGTATTCACGAGTCCCTGTTTTGGTATTCTCAAGAATGAAGAGCATTCAATGATGCACACTTTGAGAAATAGAAATAGTTTTCTCTTCACAGATAATCTATCTGTAAGCTGGCCTTTTGGTTGGCTCGTTCAAGTTTTTATTTTGTTTTTGTTTGTTGGTAAATGGTTGGTGTTACTGTGGAAGGTAAGTTGACCGTTGGGTGAAGGGGAAAGTAGCAAGTTGGATTTGCCAGAAGAGGGAAGGGTTGATGTAAAGGAACAGTTACCACATGTGGCCTGTTTGCTTTTCCACCTAGATAGACGAAATGCCAGAGAGTCGAGGCCGGAGTTGTGCGGATGGTCGTTTCAAGAAATTGTGGGTTCCATTTTCATGCTTCTGTTGTGAAGTCTCTGTTCCAAGAACTCGACAGCCTAGAGTTCAGCACCGGCTGTTTGAGCTGTTGTGGTGAAAAGGGGCAGGCTTGATGTAATTGTTACGTATCCACGGCTCGCTTTCTGAGAAACTAACAGGAACTATTCTGTTTACTCAAGTTGGACGTTGTACTACCTTCTGCTGGAAACAGAAAGCATGATTCTCGTCCCAAAGTTGAACAGAGAGCAGAGTTCAGTTCCATAAATGCTTGAACAAGTAACTATGAGAGAGTTCTAACACAACAACAACAATAACGAAAACAACAGAAGAACAGCAAACAAAATTGGTCTCTGACACGGCTCAGCTCATCTTATTCCCCAAAAGGTGAGGGAGCTGCCTGCAGACTTTTATCTGATTGCCCTTTCTATCTTCCTGAATACATTCATCATCTATATACATACATACTAGTCTTAACTCTTAATGTTTTACAGTATTTTAAAAAAGCCATATTCTTGGCTTGCACAGAACTAACCCCCTAGTTCTTTTCTGGTTAGTGGATGGATAAACCATTAGTATTACAAGAAGTAGGAGAGCTGCTCCTTCTTCCTCGAGCCACCTTCACCATACAAGTCATTCCACTGCTTTAACTCCGCCATTATCGATCCTTCTGACGCAAAGCTTGCTGCAACCTGCATTTGCATTTCAACACCATGGATCAGCAGAAAATAAATGGCTGTGTGCATTTTTCTCAGTATTCTTCACAGTCGAGCAAAAGGAAAACAGAAGAGGGAAATTAACCTACCTGGTTCTTAGCCTGCCTGAAGTCTTCCATGTTCAACGGCCGAAGGGTAATCACTCTCTCCTCCTTTTCTCCTTTTGCAGCGGACTCTGTGTCTTCCTCTGCATTCTTTTGTCCTTCTGCAGCTTTCTTCCTTTTCTCCTGCAACCCAAAATAAGATATGCAGTATTGATGCCGGCCAAGTGGGTTTCTATGACCCAAAGATGGAGAAAGGAAAAATGGAATGAGAAACTTACCATATCCCTTTTCCTCTCTTGCTGTATCAACTCCCTCACTGGTCGATAAGCAGCGGTAGTACACAAATTCTGCATTACCAAAAAAAGTCATATCTTAAACTGTTCAAATCTCCATGATTCTACGGTGAAACTGTATAACATATGCTAAGAAGTTGTATCAACCGTGACAGATATATATTACTACACACCTTTAGATCACTCCCAGAGTAGCCTTCAGTTAGCACAGCCAGCTCCTTGAAATCCAGCCGTTCGTCAACCTTCTCCTTCGACAACAGGGTCTTCATTATCATTTCCCGGTTGTCCACAGATGGAAGCCCCACCATGATCCTGCGCTCGAAACGCCGGATGATAGCTTCATCGAGATCGAACGGACGATTCGTCGCAGCAAGAACAAGGATCTTTTCACCTTGCTTCGTCGCCAAGCCATCCCAGTGAGTCATGAACTCATTCTTGATCTTCCTCATGGCCTCATGCTCTCCAACCCTGGTTCTCTGCCCGAGCATGCTATCAACCTCGTCCACGAAAATGATTGTAGGCGAGACCTTCGATGCGAGCGAGAACAGTGCTCGGACGTTCTTCTCGTCCTCGCCGAACCATTTCGATGTAATTGTAGACATCGACACGTTAATGAAACTGGCTCCAGCTTCTCGAGCGATGGCCTTGGCGAGCATTGTTTTGCCCGTGCCAGGGGGTCCAAAGAGCAGGATTCCCCTGCATGGCTTCAGGAGTCCGCCCTTGAATAAGTCTGGTCGTCTCAGAGGAAGCATCACCAGCTCCTGCAGTGACTCCTTGGTTTCTTCTAGAGCACCGATGTCAGCGAAGGTTACGTTGATCTCGTCTGCTGGTATCACTTCTGGCCTTATCCGCTTCTCGAATTCGTTGTCTGGTGCAACCTCTGGAGCTTTTGGTGGCGGTGGAGCAGTGTTTTCTGGTTTGGCTCCTTTTCCTGGTGTCCCTGTATCGGCCTTCTTTTCTGGTACTACCGCGTCAGCTTTGATTTCAATCTTCGCTTCATTCTGCAGTCATTTTAACCATTAGCTTAGAGAGTTAGAAATTCACTAAATTTTGTCACATTGCACTGAATCAAACTACATAATTTCAAGAATCAAAAACATAAAACTAACTAAATTGCCTTTGGGAGTGCAGCCTGAGCTTCTAACTTGATACTGCCAACAGACTTGCCCTCTTGGAATATGCTCAATCCATGAGACAGACTGTTTTTCAGAAGAAGAAGAAAAACACACCCAGTAGAGTTGAGTTTTCAAACAAACATAAGTTTACCATTAGAAAATTGTTCCTAATACCATTTTACCTCTTAGATGAGATGATGAGTTTTCCATTCCTGTAATCAGGATCCTTGTTGTTCATCAAATGATACGAAATAGCTGACACAACAATCTCCTCAATGTAGTTACCAAGAACCATCGTGTCAGCCATGCAGATAGTATCCAAATCATCGCAATCGAGATCGTTGGACGAGAGAACTTCCATGATGTGATTTCTGTTGTCCTGAACTTGAATCATCTTCATGTCCTCCTCCAGTTGGGACTTCCAGTTGATATGTTGGTTCTCGTCTTCTGGCGGCTTGATCTCGATGTTGTAAGGGAAGAGAATGGTGAGTCTCTCGTCGACCTCCCTGTACTCGCTCTCGAGATCCACGCTTCGAGAACCGAGGATCAGCACCGAACCAGACAGCTTCTTCAGCATTTTGTTGAACAGGTTGTAGATTCTCTGGGAACGTGACAAGAACTTGTCCACGTCCCTAAGGTAGAGCACAATGGGACTGGTTTTGGAGACGTAGACCAGGACCTTGTAGAGAGACTGAATGAGAAGCTTCTCGTCGAAAGATAAGCTGCTTTGTCGCCTCAAAGGAGCTGCTTCAGGAAAACAACACAACCCAAAATTTTGAAGTTAGTAGGTGATATTGCATGATACACTTTTAACAGAATATATTCAATTGAGGGCTAAGAAGTTCAAAGTGAAAAAAACCTGTATTAGCAGAAGCAGATTGTGAGGATAGCATGTTCATATTGGAGGTAGAGGCATTTCTTCGTAGCTTGGGGAGATTAGAGGAACCTTCCATCCCTCTGTATCATCAGGACAAGATTTAAACCGAACTATAACATAAGGACCAACTGAAACTTTATAAGAGATAACCCTTTTTCATATTTTCAGCTAAGCAATAGATCAATCTCGTGTATTTGCTACCTTGCTGATGAGAGGTCTACTCCACTGTGTTGCCTACGTAGAGTACCAGAACCTGCAACAAGAAGACCATCTTGATCAGGGGTAAGACACCGCACTAGTAAAACAATGACAGAGTGAGAAAGGGAAGAAAGATACCCAAAGGTTCCCTATCCTGGGACAGTATGGACAAGGATCCCAGGAAACCAGACAGCCGCTCCATTGAAGTTGACTTTCTCATAAAAGACTAGAACATGCAAATGCAAGATGAAAAAGGCCATCAAGAACATACCATCAACACGGAAGCATGGAGAAGGAATTTGATCATAGAAGAGAGCCAGAGAAACTTACAGTAGCTTCCTTGCTTGTGCCGTACTTGCTCTGAACCTGCAGCAAACAAAGTTCATTGTAACCAAATCAACACCACCGCCACCACCCACCATTTAAAGCTCAGAGAAATGTTAAATGCAGAGAGGTAGCTCTCACCTTGAGAGAAAAGTCTGTTATATCTAACATCAGCAGTTTAGCATCAAAGTAGTGGGCTAAAGCTTTGGCAAGCATTTGCTGGTAAAGTTCTTCACAGTCGCAGATTGTAGTTCAAGTAATCAACAGCTACGGTTAGAAATGTGAAACCAATGTACAAAAATCCAAACACAGGGAACTCTGAAAGTTTTTTTTTTTTGTGTGTAGGCAGTAACCTGCAGGGCCAGAGAGCAGTATAGTTCGACTAGCAGGTGAAAGGTTCCTCGTGTACTTTGAAACTTCCGCATGTTTCAAGTGAACATAGGCAGCACTTGTCAGCAATGTTCGGGTTTGGTCACTGCCACAACGATCAAACATCAGACGATACAAAATTTAGATTCCAATGTTGACCTAGTGAACCCTAAAAGTGGATCAAACTTGTAATTTGAAATTTTGGGTAACAAACTTCAGATCTAAGGTATTAACACAAATTAATAAAACTGATTAACATCCACGCATTACATACGGAATAAATATTGTAAATATCATCGTTTCGTATTATCATTATATCGCTTAAATTAGTAGTTTAGGGACGAACAGTTGTGTATCACAATTAATATTCACGCAAACGAGATCGCAACATTTTCTTTCCAAAGAACAGAGCAAGTAAATTATTTTCTTTCTTGTTGCAGGAAAATCGCAGATTAATCTAACTACGTAATTTTAGTTTGCGAATTTGTTGGAAAACGGGAAGCCAAGCAACGAGAACGGTAAAATGGGAAAAAAAGGGGAACAGAAAAATTGAGGGAGAGAAGAGAGACCGACCTGAGGTAGTAAGGAAACTCGGCAAAGGTAACGCCGCTTTCTCTTCCATGAATCACTTGTCTCAACAGTTCGTGCTCCAACTTATCTCCCGTCACGACGTTCGCCGCGGAAGCGTTCCCGCCGGCCCATTTGCTCATCGACGGCGACGCCAGCCCCAGCCCCACACCTACTCCCACGCCGACGCCCAACGCCGACAACAGAAACTGCTTCTGCTCCATATCGACCGTCTCGAGCAGAGGAAAACGAAATACGGGTTTCCGCTCGGTCGCGCGAAGAGGGAAAACTGGAGAGGGACAATTTCCCAAGAAAATAAGAAGAACGGGAAATAGAAACTAATGGGGGTGACGACGAGATTGACCGATCTACGCGATTAGCCTCAGAAAACGGTTTCTGATTTCGTAGGGATTTCAAAACAGAGAAGGAAAACTGGTATTTAGTGATGATGATGATCGGCTGACAGATGGTGGAATTTGAAATTAGCGGAGAAGGCGGATCTCTGGGGGGCAGATAGAAAAAAAAAAACACCGTGGTATGGGTATTTTGATTTCCTCTGTTTTTTTTTTTTGTTAAATTTTTTTTCCTGCGGCGGACGGCGGAGGGGAGCGGCGGCGGCGGTTGTTCTGGCTCCGGTTTTGGAGCGGGAGCAGTGAGAAAGTGATGAGTGTCCAACGAGAGGTTCGTTACGTGTCGCTCTCCCCGCGGTTTTCAGCCCTTTTGGCGCGGGCTCAGTTATATATTCGCGCTCGAATGGCGAATTACACTTTTGGTTATCCTATTTGCATTTAATCACTTTTCAGTCAGCAACTTTTTTTTTTCACTATTACACTTTGATTGGGGAAGGACCTAAATGTCCCCATTTTTTTAGCAAATCATCCCGAATTATAGAGGAACGATCTCTACCATATACGAAATTTCCCGAATCCTCCTCAGTAAGAAGAAATAAATAATGTTGTTTTATAGTAGGGTACATAATCACTTATATCAGTGCGATTCAGATAATCCTAGAATCGCTTTGGTATTGTGTAGGACTAGTTTGTACGATTGTAAAAGTTCTAGGACCAACTAATTATTGTGTAGGATTAGTTTAGGTAGTTTGAGACTGAAAAGGTTAGGAAATCGTACTGGCCGGTTTCTTGCACTTGCTTGCTCCCTTGAGTTTTGGTTATAAAGCCAGCGGCTAGCTGGGATGTGCAGTATTGCAATTTGCAGCCATCAATGGTGAATTGGTGTTGGTTCCTTTAATCTGCTGCTTGCTTTGCATGTAAATAATGGTATTTGATATTTAAACTGACGATTCCAAGGGAACATGCACCCAGCGGGCAAACTGCAACCAACAATATCCGTTTGTCAATATTGAGCAGTGAGCCAAAGGTAGATAGGGCAGAGCATAAATTCACGTGGATGACTTCACATCGCAGTAATAGTGTCTAGTTATTTATCAGATGGATATGATCAATTATCATGCATGCGATGGTAGCAAGCTGGTGTCAGCACTCAGCTATCACTCGTTAGAAATAATGGATACCCAATGCATGAATCATCACATAAACTAGATTATATATTTTCTCCCTTTTGGGAAGAATATCTATTCCCAACCAATTTGATTCTGCTCTATGTGCAAGCTAGCTAGGTACGTAGCAGACTGGAATTCAGTAACTGTACGTGCTTAATTAACCGATTCATGCACCACCCAATTCGTTTTCTCTAAGGATATTTATGTACGATACCTGTTGTATCCGAATCCTTACGACTTCAATATGAATAATCCAAGATATACATGCAAAATGTGATCAGTGAGGTTGTCGCGAATTGTGACACCTTCGTATAAGTACTTAAGTGAAGTATACAAGTTCCATAACCTAAACTTTCACCCCATCAACGTAACTCGGAGTTAGAACAACGAATTTGGTTTGACAAATAGGAATGGTTTTTAGTTAATCAGAGCATTTTGAAGGGGTAATTTGTGCAGAAAGTTCAGCAGCCAACTTGTTAATTAGGGTATCAAGTTGCGGGAAGTTGCCTGACAAAAGAAGAAAAGGAAAAAAATTAAAGGAGTAGGGGCCGGGCGGCGGAAGCTTGGCCGTATATCGGAATGCACGTGAAATCGGCATGGAGGAAGACTGGACTGATCGGGTGCAGGGACGCAGGCAGGCGCCAGAAAGCAACTCATGATCAGCAGCTTCTACTTGTATTGTAGCCGGGTTTCACAGGTCTAACTATTAAGCAAACCTTAATAGTATTGTATTTGTATTACTATTGATTTTGAATCTAGTGATTCCATATTCGAATTTTTCAAATGATAAGCTAATATAAAAAACAAATTCATATCACTCTTGTAAGAAAATTCTCATCATTGAAAGTAAAGATACACCATAACATTTAACATACCGCATGAGTAAGAGACTTATGTCGAATAATAGATATAGAAAAAAAAGACTAAAAAGAAAATTAACTAATGGTGGTAAATCTCATTTGGGTTTGGGTGGATTTAGATTAGGTCCAATTTTGATAATTTATTTGGTTCCAGATGATTGTACACACAAAAGATCAATACTGGTAATCTGGTTAACGACTCTTATTCAATACCGGTATTCAATGTTGGTGTTTAATATTTACACATTTTTGTTTATTCCTCTACAAAGAAAACAAAGACCACATAAGGGTTGAGTAACATTTTTTTTACTCGATATCATGAGTTTAATTTAGATCAAACTAAACAATTTGAAATCAAGTTAGCCAAAAAAAAAAAACCTATGCCATAGAGTTGGATAATACCCAATTGTTGCATTTTTCTTACATCCCTAGGTTTTACAAGGTGCATGCATAATACAGAAACCGATTATTGAAAAAAAAATACCTCTAATAATTATTGATGTAAATTTATAATCATAGTTCTAGTGGCTGCCAACACACACAAAAATATAAGATTCAAAATGAACGAAACATTAAACAAACAGTCAGGATGGCCGAGTGGTCTAAGGCGCCAGACTCAAGTTCTGGTCTTCGAAAGAGGGCGTGGGTTCAAATCCCACTTCTGACAATTTTTTTCGAGTTTTCCCTATTGCACTTTTGCAAACCATGAATTGCTAGTTGCGGTGAAGAACTCTCTATCGACTATCATTAGGCAGCTTTGGATGGGCAATGGAGCTCGAAAGGATAAATCTTTCCCCCCATTTTTCAGGGGTTTGCATTGAATATTTCCCAACTTATTGTCTCCGTTATAATTACAGGCTTGTAGACATGATACATTCTGCAGTGCTACTGCTACTTCTACTTCTTCTACAGATAGTATGGATCCATCCACCTCTGTTAATACAAATTCTTCTACTTGCATTCTGCTGCTGTTGGTCATATAAATTTGCACCCCTCTCACCCTCATCATCTTCTTCTTCATTCACTTGACACCACCCCCTTCTCCGTGGCGAGATAACAAACCCTTCCCTTCTACATATGCCATCAATATGAATGCTAAATGCTCAATACCTTTTGCAAAGAGCATCATGAAACTCAGAACCATCCTACTTCATCAGATCTAAGAACACGAAACCATTCCACAGGCTATGCAGGAGTATGGGGGGCAACAAGTTCCTTGATCGTGCAAAAGTTATCCCCATCACCACCCCTAGAAACACAAGTGGTAGCATCCTCTGTACATTAAAATGGGCCAGGGCAAATGCGACCGAGCTCACCAGTATAGCACACCAAACCGGCATGTACTTGGTCAATGACGGCAAGAGGAAGCCTCGAAATACAATCTCCTCCCACACGGGTGCACAGACCGATACTACTATGGCATAAAGAGCCATTGCCACGGGATCCCGTGCAGCAATCGACTGCTCAACACTAGAGAGCGTGACAGGTGTTGAGGGTAGTATGGGGAGGAGGCTGAGGTTGAACTGGGAGAGGCGGTTGACTAGGGGAAACATGAGGCATCCGAGGGCGACATCGAGCATCCAGTTGCCTCTCGGGGTGAACCTAAACCAATCGGAGGAAAGAGGGCGGAACTTTGAAAGGCAGCGGTGGAGGATTGCTATACCAGCTAGACCTTCTGTGGCGTCGGTGATAAGGCTGAATAAGGCTTGGCCTCTGAAGGTTAGGGATTCCTTGTTGACGCCTGCCATATGGGCTGCAAAGGGGACAACCCAGGACCCTATAAACCAGAATGTGACTACCCAGAGAAGCATTACCTGCATCACCAAAATGAAGTTTAGTATAAATAGCCCGAGGAGGAAGATTAATGGTTGCTTCTAAATGCCTTAAGTGGAAACGTTCAACGGATAGAATGGAGAAAAATGGCCTATGATGAACCTAAAACGCGTATTGTTAAGAGAGCTAAGAGACTCTAAGACCAGACATTGCCAACATATGGTTCTCTAACTTCTCAATTTATGAACTTCAAAGCTTTTCATCTAGTTGTTTAATTTTTTAGTACGATTCATTTAATAATAGGTTGAAGACATTTTACCTGGATTATGGTCTCTGCAGTCCATGGTACAGTCCACCGACTTCCAATTGCCCTTTGCACCACATCAACCACCTGGAAACAGAGCAAATTAGTTGTTATAATCCCATTCCTACTTCACAACACAAATGTGGAGAGTGGTTGCCACTGACTTCTCCCATGGAAGTAGTGCATATATAAAAGGAAGCTCTTGGTTCTGAAACGTGACGAGACATACATTCAACTACTCTTGTACTTGATAGTTAATCTGGAGAAACATTCATTGAAGTGTATAGACATTCATGGTCAGGTTGGTATCCTTATTCCTACTCTCATCGAAATAGCAATCTGAAGAAAGCAGATCCTAAGCAAGTTATCATTGAATTTTAATTCTGAAAGCAACCCGTTCTACATTATATCCTCCTTCCTTATTTAGAAGGAAGTACCACACAAAGGTGAAATTTGATGCATTGGTAAGAAATAAGAACCAAGACACCAGACACATTTCCACTAATTACAGTCCGATTGTCTCGTACTAGCACATCAAAATCAAACAGGCATGGAGATTAAAAATCACAATAAAAGCCACTTTTGCAATCAATCGTTCTCATAAACTCGGGAGGAAAAAATACACCTTTCTAAGATTCGATATCCAATCCCTTTTAACCGGAGCAGAAGAACTACTGAGTTCAGGTTCTTGCTTAAGTGGCTCCCCAGGAAGCAACTGCTCAACGCCATCAGACTTGGGATTCGCAGGGGTAAAATCCTCATGTCTAAAACACGAAATCCTCCATTTCTGTAAGAAAGCAAATAGAAGAGAAAGCAATCAGAGGCAAACCACCCTTTGTCGCATAATCATGCAGTACATGAAAATAAAAATTCGGTAATCCTTTGTCAGCTACCCAGAAAGCTACAAGCTGGAATCTCTCAGCTCAAATTGAGTGATGAAAAAAGCCCCAATCAGCTAAGAGCAAATAGCCGAAAGAACGCAGCTTTACAAGAAGAAACTTTACATTCTTGTGAAGCTTGGAATTGGGTTCAAGGATCCGGGGATTCCTGGCCGAAAGAGACGAGGACCCAGGGCGATTAAGAGCCCTAAACTGCCTGGAAAAGGAAGGTACGAGACTCGGACGCTGAGAAAGGGACTGAGAGCAGCAATAGCTCAACATTTAGGAACCCCCAATTAGAAGCCCAAATTGATCCGCATCACAAGAGTGAACAAACTCCAATCGGCGAGTTGGAAATTTCCTGTTTCGAGCAATCAGAGGGGAAGAAGGAACGGCGAAAGCCCTAATGGCAATGGGTACAGCTCGGGCGTCGTGGTGGCGGTGGTTGGAGGGAGAGAGGAAGACGGAAGGAAGGAAGGAAGGTAGAAATGGAAGGAGATAGATGATTAGGATCGCGTTTGGCAGTTGGAGAAGAAATGCGCTTCGGATTGGGAGGAAAAGGATGAGCTGGAAGCTCAGCTGTAGAGCGGAAGAGAGAAAGGGGAATTTGCAAAGAAATTGTGGTGGCCGTTGTTTTCTGGAAAATTTTAAGAGTTAAAGACCGTCTTTGGCAACTCGTAAAAGATTTTGCATTTTTCTCCTTTTTCTCTCGTAATATTAAATTTGGAAGCGTGGTATTGACGTATTGTAACCCGAGATGTTTGGGAAATTAGATTTTCGGTCGGAAATATTGGTCAACCTTTGCAATTTAGCCAAAAGAAAAACAATGGAAACCAGTGTTAGTGTTGTGGTATATGATACACGATTGAACCTCTCCCAACAACTCGAGTTATTGGGATCAACTGGTTCTTGACATGGTATCAGAGCCTTCTGTGACCGAGAGGTCTTGTGTTCGATTCCCGATGACCCCCATTTGTTAAGCACATGGTATTCTTGTCTTCAGACCTGTGCAAACTTCAAGCCTTTGTGAGTGGCTTTCGTTTGAGGGGGCGTGTTAGTGTTGTGGTATATGATCCACGATTGAACCTCTCCCAACAACTCGAGTTATTGGGATCAACTGGTTCTTGACAACCAGATCCTCTTGTGTGCTATTTATTTGTCAATTATACTCTTCAATTTTTACTTATAAATCCTAATAACATGAAAAATGCACATTCGGCCGGAAATATTTGAAGCCGCCACCTCTAAAGTGGGTAACTCTCAATTCAGATGATTTCGTCCGTCCTGGCTCAGGTCACGTCGCGGCAGGTGGCCTGATTCGAGATCATACAGGACGCTACACTGCAGCGTTTGCTATTAACTTGGAGATTTGTTCTATCACTCGAGCAGAATTGAGAGGCGTTGTTGAAGGACTTCTGTTGGCTTGGGATACCGGCCACCAACGAGTTCGCATGGAACTTGATTCCAAATGTGCGATTCAGCTACTACAGAGTAGTGAGGCGTCGGATCATCACCAGACCGCTATTATTGATCGCTTCAACGATCTTCTTACTCTAGATAGGTTAGTCTCGATAGCCCATTTACAGAGAGGGGAACAAATGCGGGGACTACTTGGCTAGTAGGGGGCATACTCTTGCTTTGGGCTTTCCTGATGTGCCAGTTTTCTTATTCTAGTTTATGTCATTTCCTCCCGTATGATTGTCAAGGACTTTCCGAGTCTCATTTGGTTATGAATGAAAGCTGAGATGCACTACATCCATTTATAAAATAAAATAAAAAATTCAACCTTCTGTAACTTGATCCATTCCAACAAGAATGAGGCGATGGAGGCGTGTCACGCGTGGAACAAATAAATTATTTCGCGACTATTTTATGGTTTTACCTAAAAAAATTCATTATCAATATACTTACGTAATAAGAATGGTTTTATACAACTATCATAATTCAATTGAGTATAAATATAAACTCCTCAATACGGATTATATAACTTCACCGAACATTATTAGTGACAAATTAGAAAATATCGTACTTAATGACGAATTCTAATCCGGATTGGATGGCTCATAAATAAACTATCTATCCGTTGCGAGTTTTCCTATGAATAATTTTGATTCCATTATTGAAGCCATTCAGTCGGAATGTAATATAAAATGTTAATGTATAGAAAACGTGATTGGCGCATTCCTCATTTTGCTTGATTTCCTTGTTGTACTATCCAAAAAAAAAAAAAAAACATTAATCTATTGAACTTCTGCTTCAAAGAGAGACAAGGAATGGAAAAAAGTTTAGACAAACGAAGCCTTGTCCGTTTCATTATTGCCAGATTTGAGATTACTCGAGCTTGCATTATCTTCTCGTGTCTTTTCAAATAATAAAACGCTCTAGAAAAGGGGAACATACCAACCAGTCCCCTGCTGCTATTTATCAATACATCATATAATAACTGTAGAGTGTAGATGATTCTTCAAATTGATGTGGATGGACAAAATGCAAAGAACTCAAAACCAGAACTTCAATGAAACCAACAAACAAGTGTTACACATACATACACCTGTCTGGAATCAACAGGTATAGAACAACAGTTCTGAAACTTACAGAGTGTAGTTCATACCAACCTCGATCAACGAAGTCTGAGGAATCGACAGAGCTATCGAAGGCGCGCGACAGTTCTTCCGCAAAAACGAGTACACAATGTTGATCAGGAACCTCTTCAAGAACGGTGAGTTCCACTTCGCCTTGCTGTTCGAATGCCCTATCACATACGCCACACCGAACTTCTTAGCTTCCATCAGTCTCATCACTTCTTCCTTCACAAACGAGTCCTTGTACCTCGTATCAACCAACGTCAGCTGTACCCTCGTCTTGAACTTCACCTCAGGTGACTCCTGCTCATCGTACATCATCTTCAGCTTCACCAGTGTTGCTGACTTGCTGCTGGTTATGTTCAACGAGCTGCTGCTGGTTCCTTCAAACCCGTTAGACTTTGAGATCCCAAATCTCTTCCCAAAATTCTCAGAAGATTTGACAACAGCTAGTCGACCTCCAATGGACCCACCATCGGGTGTACCACTTCCTCCGCCTTCTGCTTCCAGCTGGATGAACTCTGCAATGCTCATAATCAGAGCATTCTCGAAGTCGTACTCGTTCTCGTTTTCATTAACATCCTTGTACCCATTTTGGACGATACAACGGTACATTCTGTAGGATTTAGGGCCTATTCTTCCAACAAGGTATCGCTCCTTTTGTGGGACAAAAGGAACAGGGACAGTTTTGTCACAGACAAAGACAATGATTTGGTAGAATGCTGGTAAATTGGTTAGGAAATGGGAGAAAGTGGCAGGGACTCCGTTTGCTAAGTGAGTGTAGATGAGACCTATACCAGGGACTCTTACAATGCCGAGATCTGAACCAAGAGTGAGGATCCATTTCATGGGAAGCTTGTGGTTTTGATCATACAAGTACTTCTTTCTGCTGCCGTAGTGCCACACGAACATGGTGAACAGGAATATGGAAGAGAGAAGAAGTGGAACCCATCCGCCCTGGAGGATTCTTATGTAGGATGAGAAGAGGAAGGTCAGCTCGATTGTTCCGAAGAGGATGAAGAAGGAAAGGGCGAGAGCGAGACCCTTGTGCCATACGAAGTAGATGGACAAGGAGATTAGGGATGTGGTGATGAATATTAGAGTCATTGATGCTATCCCTGCAAAATTTAAGTTGGGAAAGTGTTAGCTTATAATGGAAAACAATCAGCATATAATGTTCGATAACAAAAGATGTATAATCTGATAATGGAAGTACGCCATGGTTATATATCACATATATAATGATTTACGTGCGAAGCTTGCTAGGCTAAGGTTGCCGAGTAAAGTGAAGAAATGACTATAACATGTATAAATCTTAGTTCAAAGGAGCAAAGTTGGAAATTAGGCTTTTTCTATTTAAATAAATCATGGGATTTAGGGTGAAGAGTTGTTCTAAGAAATTTTTTGGCAAAAGTATGTTTGTTAGAGCTTTTTCCCCAGACTAAGTTTGAAGAAGTAAAAATTTGGATGAAACAAACACACATTAGATGTATTCACTGCATCAAAAACGACTAACCATAGGCATTTCCGATGCGGGTGGTATCTTGAGAACCCAGAGTCACTGCCGAACAGAGAACCATAAGGATCCAGTTTATCTCAGGGACGTATATCTGACGATCAATCCACTTTGATTTGTGCACAATCTTGACACGAGGGAAACACCCTAGCGCATGACACTGTTTGACAGTGGAAAATGTGGCAGATAACACAGCTTGACTAACAACTACTGTTGCCAGAATTGCTATAACTAAAACTGGCCAGAAAACTGCATCTGCAACCAAAACAGTCCAACAAAACTTTGAAGACAATAAAACTTCAAAAGAATTATGAATTGAAGAGACGAAGACAGTAAGGTCCAGATTAGTTCTTCCAGTTACAATGTACCTGGAACTGACGCATAGAAACTCAAGGATATAGCAGAGAAGTTCTTTGAAAGAAATGCAGCTTGTCCCATATATTGAAGAACTAAACATGGGTATACAAAGAAGCAGAAAGCAACCTGCAAAAACAAATAGATACTTTTACATGGTGCTTCTTTTTTACCTCAAAGAGGAGAAGTATGAATTCCTAGTTTACATGAGTTCACGTTCCAACATACCCTTATCGATGAAGCTGAAAACTGGCCAACCTCAGTAAACAAAATATCAATTCCTGCAGTTAAAAATGCATTAGGTTTGCTGAAGATAATAATGCCCGAGAAAATTAACATATAACAGAGAGGCATATTACCAGTGATACATAATAATGCACCTCCAAGAGAAATCCAACCATCGATTCCAGTGAGTCTGAAGAACCTGTAAATGTATATTGGAGAAAGAGCCTCGTATATTCTAGGATTCCAGTGCATGATGTTGTAGACACCAAGAGCGGCAATGGACAACAGCCACAGAAGAACAACTGGAGAAAAGATGAAAGCCACCTTATGTGTGCCTTGATATTGCAGAACGAAAAGGCTGAGTAATAAAACACCTGCAAGGGCAACCATAATTCCTGTATACACATAAAAATGTGTCAGTGTCTTGAACAGTCCACAAGAAGATGAAACATAAGAGTAGTTTTGATGGATGCAGTAAAATTTTAGAAGAATACTAATTGGTTTATCTTGGCTTCCTCTCTTGACAAAATCTTTAAGCCACCGGAATTGAAAACTAACTAGACCTTTTGGAATGCATCAAACTTAAATTATGTTTAACAAGCTCAGAGAAGTTACTGAAAAATGCCTATCATGATAATATAGCAAATTTTATAACTTATAATTCACTTAACTGTCATAATCAACAATATTCTACCACAATGGGAACTCTGAGGGGTTAGCTAAAAAATTCTACTCACTCTGAATTCTAGTAATCGTGTATAGGAAAATAAAATTTCTATCCAACGGGAACTAACATCTAAGGTGTGCATCATTACCATTCCAGCGTTAAAATGTCAAATAAGAGTAATCAAACTTTCACAAGTAACAACTACTCACTGTGATTCAGATCATTGGATTGAACTTTGAGTCCTTCAATGGATGAAACAACTGCATAAGATCAACTGTCAGACAATAAAGGGATAAGGAAAACATGAAAACCAAGTGGAAGTAGAACTGATGAACCAAAAACACTGAACTCACCAGATATAGCTGGTGTAAGGACACCAAGAGTCATGGCCATACTAGCAGCCATCAGGACCAGTATAAGTAGAGCTAACTTTGACTTCTTATCACGGTCAGGAAGCCTTCTGAACGAAGAGGCAGGCACACTTCTATTTGAGTAACCCGCATGCTGATACGTTGAAAGCTCCTCATCTGAAGCTTGTTGATTAGGGAGCAAAGAAAACTTCCCATGCCTGCAAAGAAGTGAATATAGAGCAAAAATTCCACCTGCAAAATCAACAAATAGGATCATAATGTATCTATTTGGCCAGAAAAAAAACAAATGGTTTAATAATCCAGTAAATTTGATCCAGCTCTTTACCTTCACCATTATCATTTACACTAAGCATGAAGACGGCATATTTAAACAATGAAAAGAAAGAGAGGGTCCAAAATATGACGGAGAAAGCCCCAAAAACTGCCTCTTCAGATTGATAATGGCGCAACCTTCCAGCAAATGCACTTCTATAGACATAGAGAGGGGAAGTGGCCAAGTCCCCAAACACTATGCCAAAGCTCTGATACACTAACAAAAGGAAATGCTTGCTCCGAGTTTTATTCTCATCCTGCTTAAATAACAAAAAGAGAGAACACTAAGTTCGACAAAAGGTTCAGCATAAATCAAGGTCTGAAATGATGCAGAATATATCTGCTATTTAAGACTCAAACTTCATATCTAAAGCAAGCTCAGTGCAGCTACTTCTAGCAAGCATGAAAATGCCATCATTTCTTTCGGATTTAAATATTACATCGGGTCTTTCTGCAATTGATCGTGTTCCATATGCATTCCAGATACAAAAAAATCAAAAGCAAAAAGCTAAGTACCCATCAGAAATTCGGAATTCCTAAAACGGAAAGGAAGAATCTTTCAGTAACCCCAAAAGACCACAACATTGGAAAGGAGTCCCAAGATTTGGAAGTAACACGAACAATGCCTAAGGTAGTCAAACACTCAAATTCATCATATGCCGAACGTATTTGATATCTCTCCAATTGAGCGGAAATCAACGGAAACTACCCACGAACGGGTTACATAATGTGTTCCAACTCCGACCTCAATGAAAGTCTTGTCAACGAATTGACGACGAAGTGGAGATCATTGAGTAACTTTCGAATATGCCAAGCCGAAGAGAATCGATATGCAAATGGGTCCAAATTGGAATCTAATAGATTATTAAAAGACAGGGGATTGAGACAGTTACCATGATTTTGTCGGGAAGAACACTGGACCTAGAGCAGCAGCTGGGTGACGAGAGTGCAACCCGAATCTAACAAGATTTACGGGATTCGGATTATGCCTTGTTTCGGAGCTTCATGTAGAAAAGCTCTTAAGAGCTAGGGTTTTGGGGAAGACGAAGATAAGGCTGTGCAAATCGAGAGAACCAGCAAAGGAGAAGTAAATCTACAAATCGGGAAGAAGGCAAGGAAGTGTGTATGCTGAAGAAAAACAGTAAATAGTACAAATTGGGGGGAAATATGTTAGATATCAATCATCAAAGTATAAGAGTTTTATCGGCTGTCGTCGTCTCGTCGAGGAGACGAGGGTCGAGGAAATTACGAGTAAATTATGAGAATTAGGATAAATTACGAGAATTATTAAAATATAGTTAAAATTAGACAATTACAGTCAATAATGTGAACTTTTTTTATATAGATTGTAAATGAGTAATGTCCTCTGTTTTCAGAACCGGATCGGAAGGTGAACCAGAAAAGTTAGTGGTTTAAGGATTCACCGGTTAATCGTTATAAAACCGTTGGTGAACCGTTGATAGAACTGTTAATGATATATAACATATAAGACTTGTATATTACACTAATTTAAGAATGAAATTATCATTGACCATAAACAAGTTCAAATTCATATCATCACGAAAATATCTAATAAATCATTCCAACCATCTCACAAAAGAAACCACATTTTTTAATTCATATTAAAAATTACGGTTCTAGTTAGTAGTAGACAATGTAAAATCAACAATAAGGTTGAGGAAGCATATATAAAATTAATAATTATGATTTGATGGTCTTAGTTTAGGTTAAAATATTTTTTTTTTTAAAATAGTGAACCAATGGACCAGCTAAACCGTGTCGGTTAATCTGATTTTATGTTGAACCGTGAAAAAACCGTTTGTTCCATCAATAACCGTTCAACAATGAACCGGACCGCTACCGTAACTGGCTTGACGGTTCTACTGGCCTGGCCGTTGATCCGGTTCGGTTCTTATAACAAGGGTAATGTCTATTTCTTATTCAATTTTTTAAAAAAAAATTGATATCATCTAAATTTATCGAAATGCGAAAAAATAGCTTATTGGCAATATGACACCGAATTGGAAGAGACATATGAAGACCAACATTTCAAAATTTTAGTATTTTAACTAATAAAGAGTTACAAAATTATTAACGATAACGTAAAAATGGCTAATACTTTGATGCATTACGAAATATTAGCTAATTAATAACATTTTAATAGGTTTGAATAATATGAAAGAATATGAAAAAAAATTAAATAACAAATAGACATTACGACCAACATAAATACTACAACTAATACTTACTGATTGGCATGCCAAAGAAGAGTTTTTTTGTCGCCCAATGGACACTGGACAGCCAACTCTAAAACATATTTAGACAAACATTATGTTGAAAAAGTTTAACTCAATACCAAACAAAAATGAATAGTTAGTTCAATATACGTGAACACACGCTTTTAAAGCAAATTAGAAATATTTATCTAAACTAAACACAAAATTTTATGCACAAAGTGAACTAGTATATTTCAACAGCATACGAGGAAGAAATCGACGTGGAGATGGAAGCACAACGTAAGAATTAGTTTTTGGATGGGAAAAGGTATGGTTACCCTCTGTCATACACACTCGAGTGGTTTGCGACATTGCCAGTTAGTTGGTAGCCCATTTCTTCCTCAGTCCCCTAACAGTCTACGAACCTTCTTCCAACTCTCCGACCACCAACGCGCCACTAATGAAACGAATTTAAAGGCAAAACCGGTACCCAACTCTTTTTTTTTTTTAACCAAAGATAGCTTGTATTACCAAGAGAAAAATAGATCAAACGATTACAACTCCGAACGGAGCCAAGCGCAAAAATCAAAACCTAGCACAGCACTAGCCGACAAATCGAGGGCCTTCCTTGCCACCAAATGGGCAACCCTATTGTTCTGCCTACCAACGAACTGCACTCTAAACCCCGGGAACATATGTCGAAATGCCCTAACATCCTGAAGGATTGCTCCACCCTTGGCGTCCCGTACCTCCAGCGCATTCACCTTATCAATTATAACTTTAGCATCCCCCAAAATCACCATTGATCCCCAGCCCCTCATTATGCACCAGTACATAGCCTCCCGAAGAGCAATCAACTCCACCACCGCTGGCTCAAACGCTCCATCCAAGCGTTCCCCTTTCGCCAACACGACGGCTCCCGTTGCATCTCGAATAACTATCCCAACTGCCGCATGGGACTGACCACAAACCGCACCATCAAAAGAACACTCCATCTCCCCCCCGGGCCCAGCCCACCCTCCCATCCCCCCTCGCCCCGGCGGATCAGCAAGCCCCCCACCCCCCTCCCCATCGGTCACCCTGTCCCACTCCTGAATCTGATGCAGGAGCTGCTGTCTGAGAATATCTCGATGAACCTGCTTAAACTCGAATACCACCCAATTCCGCGCCTTCCAAATACGCCATAGCACCGCCACCACCCGACACATCATGGCCGCCGATGTTACCCGCTCCAAGACCCGACGAAGGAAAACCACAAAGTTCGCACCATCCAGGTCATCCGTCAACCCCAGAACCCCACCGCCTTCCCATAATTCCTTCGCCACCGGGCACAGGAAGAAAAGGTGCTCCAAGGATTCCAGCTCCGCCCAGCAAACCGGGCAGCGCCCCAGGACATCAACCTCCTTCTCGAGTAGAGCCTCCATAGTGGGCAAAATACGACTGAAAATCTGCCAAAGAAAGAACTTCAGCTTTGGTTGCACCTGCAGAGACCAGATGGTCTTCCACAGCCTCACATCCATCCAGCTAACATCCTCCTTCCATTTAGCCCACCGGCTCTTCAGACGGAAAGCCAGATGGTACCCAGACTTGACCGTGTAGGCACCCGACGAATCCTCCACCCAGATAAGCTTGTCCTTCACCTCCAAACGGGGCAACGGAATAGCCTTAATCCGCCTTACCCATTGGGGAGGGAAACAGGCGACCAGGCACTCCTCACACCATTTCCCCTCCCCTGGGCAGATCAAAGACGAAACCTTATCCTGGCTCGTAACAGGCGCTATAGGCAAAAGAGGAGGAGCCTCCTGCTCCTTCCCCGGCACCCACAGTGCCGATCCTATCTCCACCTCCTCCCCCGTACCCATTTGCCATTGCAGGCCTTGTTTAAGCAACTCACACCCATGTAGCACACTCCGCCAGCCCCAAGACGGGCGCGACCGAGGACCCGCAGTTAGGAGAGACCCATTTGGGAAATACTTCCCCTTGTATATTCTCGCCAACAGAGAGTCCGGCTCCTCTAAAATCCGCCATCCTACCTTCGCTAGTAAGGCTTGATTGAACTCCTCAAACCGTCTGAACCCCAATCCTCCCTCGTGTTTGCTTCTGCAAAGTCGTCTCCACGACATCCAATGAATCCTCGGCGAGCCATCCTTCGTCCCCCACCAAAACCGTGCCATCAAGCAATCAAGCCGGCGACACAAAGTTTTTGGCAACAAGAAGCATGACATAACATGAACCGGAAGAGCCGACGCCACCGACTTCAGCAAGGTTTCCTTTGCCGCCCACGATAGGTGGCGTTGTTTCCATCCTTGTAACCTGGCGAGAAGGACCTCCTCAACAAACCTGAACGTTTCCGCCTTCGACCTGGCTACCAGAGTCGGCAACCCAAGGTACTTATCCTGGACACCAACCGCACCCACCCCTAACCGAGCAGCCATCAGGGCACAATCAGGGCCCAAAATGTTCCTACTGAAACAAACGGCTGACTTAGCCAAGTTCACCCTCTGCCCACTCAACGTTTCATACTCCTGCAGGACCGCCAGCAGCGCGTCACACTCTCGCAAGGATCCCCGGAGAAACAGATAGGAATCATCTGCAAAGAATAGATGCGACACTGCTGGAGCTCTAGGGCTCACCCGGACCCCTGCAAGCCTTCCTTCCGAAATCGCCTTGTTGATCAAAGCAGAAAAGCCTTCCGTACAGAGCACGAACAGTAAAGGAGACAAGGGATCCCCTTGCCTCAACCCTCGTGATGACCGAAAAAAACCCGAAGGTGCTCCATTCATCATTACCGAGAAAGAAGCCGAAGAGAGGCACTCTCGAATCCACCCTATCCAAACCGGACTAAAACCCAATCTTTCCAAGACCGAAAGCAAGAAAGACCACTCGACCCTATCATAGGCCTTTTCCATATCAACCTTCAGAGCCATATAGCCTTTCTTACCCTTCGTCTTAATCGTAAGATAATGCATCAGTTCGTGGCCAATTAGCACATTATCCACAATCTGACGCTCCCTGATAAACGCATTCTGTCCTTCCGACACAATATTCGGCAAGTGAAGCGCCAGACGTTCCGCCATAACCTTGGTGATTATTTTATACACAAACTGGCATAAACTAATCGGCCGTAGCTGGCGAACATTCTCCACCTCATCCACCTTAGGGATCAAAGTTAGCCAGGTGTGGTTAAAGCTATGTAAAATACGACCATTTTGAAAAAAGGACCGTACAGCCTCCACCACCGATGGACCAACAATATCCCAAAACGCCCTATAAAATTTCCCTGTAAACCCATCCGAGCCCGGCGCCTGCATCGCACCCATGGAGAAAACCGTCTTGCGAATCTCCTCAGCAGTGACCTCCGCAATGAGCTCCGCATTCATACTATCGGAAACTTTTGGAGCGATGGGCAGCTCCGCAACGCGCGCTGCCATATTCTCCACCGTATTCTCCGATGTGAACAAATGCTCATAAAACCCAACTGCCAATTCCGCCTTCTCCTTCTCCTCTGTCACCCACTCACCGCTTGGTTTCTGCAATTTTTCCACGAAGTTACGTTTGCGTCTCGTCCGCGTTACCGCATGGAAGTAGGACGTATTCCGATCTCCCACTTTCAACCACCGAATCCGTGATTTCTGTTGCCAGAACACTTCCTCCGCCTCCCATTGCCTGGCCAACTCTTCTTCCAGTCCCCGGATCCCCTCCCAATCCACTGGATTCACATTTCGAATCGCTTCAATCTCCGTCTGAAGCACCCGGATTTCCCTCGCCGAATTGGTCGTTCCTGCCCGACTCCAATCATATAGGAAATGTCGCAGCTTTTTAAGCCTCTGCCATAGCCTATACATGGGAGAACCTCGCTCCTCCTGATTCCACACATACTGGACAAACAGCCGCACCTCCGGATTATCCGCCCAACGCACATCGAATCGAAACAACGGCCGACAATTTCGCACAAATGGTTTATCCGCAATCAAGATAGCTCGATGATCTGACCCGAGGTCAGTACAATGCTTCACTAGCGAATCTGGGTAGGTATCAACCCACCTCGCGGAACCCAAGGCCCTGTCTAGCCTCTCCATCACGCACGCATTACCCATCCGCTTATTTGTCCACGTAAATGGACACCCCTGGTAGCCTAAGTCCTGAAGACCCAAATTATCCATAAAACTCCGGAGATCCTCGGATTGGGCCGGATGCCAGGCCGTACCCCCCATCTTTTCATTTGACGATAAAATAGAATTAAAGTCCCCAACCACCAGAAAAGGAATCGTCAAAGTCGCACAAAACGCTTGCAAATAAGCAAGTTGAGACTGCCGCGTCGCAGCGACACAGCTCAAGTACACACACCACCATATACGGGGACCCATTATTATTAATAGTAGCAGCGATAAAGAAAGACGAACTACAATCGACAGACACACTGACATTGGGGGACCAACCAATCGCAAGACCCCCCGACGAACTAACAGCATCAACTAAATAACAAGAATCCGACGAAAAACCTAAACGCCGCATACGACGCACTACGACTCGACGACGAGATCTCGTTTCCGACAAAAAAACCAGATCCGGATTATTTGACCGAATAAGACCTAACAACGACTGGAGCGTGAGAGTGGTCCCTATACCCCTCACGTTCCACGATACAAGCCTCATTTGGGCGACTGGGGCCATTTCGGGCTGGCTTCCTCCACCACTACATTCTCAATAACACAATCATTTGGACCACAAAGTTTCTTCGAGGGGGTCGGATCCGCTACCAAACCCTCAACCTCCGCCGCTGCACGCTTCCTCTCCTCCACCGCATCCATCTCCGGCGCTGTCATCTTGAATACCTGCATTAAATTCGAACCATATTCATCCAGCTTCAGATTCACCGCCGCCTTCTTCATCAACTCAGTAGCTGAATCCACCATCTGCTCCATGATAGAGGGATCCCCCTCTTTCTCCTCCGCCGACGCAGCACCTCCCATTTCCGCCGCCACAGCCTGCTGGTCAGCCCTTGTTTTGGCTGCCTTCTCCGCTAGCGCTCCTGCGTGAGGACGAGTTCCATCTGCAGCCCCCACCACCTGACCTGCCTTCCCTGCCTGCCCCTTGATCTTTCCGGCCAGCTTCTCCTCCCGAGGCCTCCCCGCCACCCCCGCCATCATCTTCCCCTCGCCACTCCCCTTTGCACCTGCCCTATTATATCCTTCACCCACCTCACCCTTGCTGATTCTTGAGGATGAGCACGCCACCGCCGCTTTACCTTTTCCCACCGCACTCTTTTTCCCAGAATCTGCCTTCTTTCCATCCACCCCCCCAGCTGTGCCCTTCGACACCTTCAGCCCCATCACCACTGGTTTTTTGACAGCCGCCATCTCCAGCCCTTTCCCACTAGCATCATCTCGATTGTCCTTCTTAGCAGCCCCCTCCAGGTTCGGATTAATCCACACAGACTTCGGCAGTCGGGGCGCCTCGGCATTCAGCCTGTAACCGATAACGTCCGTAGACATTCTCTGACCATACTCCTCATCCCCTTCCGGATCTGGAAAGGAACAGTTCTTCTCTAAATGGCCCAACCTCCCGCAATGGTAACAGAAAAGCAGGAGGAATTCATAGACAAGATGCACCCATAACTCCCCTGCCATTTCATTCCGCGCATAGAGCTTCGATCGCAACGGCTGCAACACGTTCAGTTTTACTCTTGTTTTTATGAAATTTCCAGATTCACCACGGATACCAAACAGCCCTGCATCCAGCACCTCCCCAATTTTTGCTTCGGCCATAGTCCTCCCGAAAGCCACCGTTCTGCAATGCGACGGAATCCCCCACATCTGCACCCAAAATGGGGCAAAAGCCAAAGATTCCACAACTGCCTCAGTCACCGGTTCCCACTTCTGTAGTTGAAGCACCCGATCCTTGACTGGCCATGGCGATCGTTGCAGCACCCACTCCATATCCTCTTCATCATCGAAGAGGAACTGCAGCAGCCCACCCTCCGCTTCCATAATTGCTACATTTTTGGAACAATTCCATGCTCCTTGCACTATCCGCAAGATCACAGAGAGGCTTGGACGTGTGTCCATGAACAGACGGCCAAGCAGGCTGGATTTTGCTCGCTTCATACTGGTTTCCACATCCACCGTCGGGAAGTCTACGATTTGATCCTCATGAACTGGTTTGGCAGCCGCATCTTTCCCTGCTCCCGCCTTCCTCATTTTCAGCACTGATGGCGCCATACTTTCAACCCGCACAGCCTGATCCCTGTTGATCACAAACACAAAACAAGAGTCTAAAATCTCTTTCCACACTCTGTCTGCCCAGAATAGCAGTATAGGAACATGTTCTCGACCCCAAACCCACAACCCAGAGAGTGACCCAAGACAATCACTATATAAACGAGTTACAATCCCCCAGCAACATATCACCAAACTTTGTAGCCATCTCAAAAATCCCATACCTGGGCGTTGAGTATTCTCTTCTTCACAAACAACTCTCGCTCGTACCTGCCGAACACTTTCACACTTTGGAAGAGATGTGGAATAGTGATTTTGGCAATGATATGCAGTTGTTAAATAGACCCACTTCGGGGCCAACCGTAGCACCGTCTCTTGAACGGATTCTTGATTTGAGTTTATCCCATCCGATTTTTTCAGGATGAGATATCCCTCTAGGAGTCCCCCCCTTTTCTGATCGTCAGCTTCGCGAGATTTTCTCGCCACTTCCCCATCCCGAGATTGAAGGGATTTTTGATTTTGTTCAGAAAATTCTGAAATTTCCTTTTTTTCCGATTTTTCTTTTTTTTCCCCACCGAGGAAGGGGGTTGGGCATCGCCGCCCCAATGTTGGGCATCGCCGCCCCAATCTTCCTCTGCCCCACCCGCCGGCGGTTTACGTCGCCCATTTGGAGGCTTGTCCCATCGGAACCCAAGCCGACTCCTCCTCTTCGCACCTTCCCCGTCGGGATTCCACCATCGAGACTTTTCCTCGATTCCTCCTTCTCGCCCTGCCGCATGCAGGATGCCCGACCCACGCCCTAACCTGAGAATCTCCGGCCGCCACCTCGGCGCCGTTTGCTCCCCACCAGCACCCATGGCTGAGTGTAGGAGTAGGACTGAAAGGATCGCCCTCCCACCAATCGCTAGCAGGCATAGGAGGTTTGCCCAGAACTTTACCCAAACGAAAAGGCAGCATTCGCTGAGGAGAGAGGACAGAGCATTTGCTCTCATTTTTTTTTTTTTTATGCTGTTTCCTCTCCACAGTGTCATGTGGTCCAAACCGGTACCCAACTCAAAAGGAAGGATTTCGTAAAAAAATGCTAACTCAACTTTAAATCTTATTTTGAACCGTAAATATAAACGAATTGAATCGAATAGATCAATAGAACGAGTAGATTTGGGTTGCAGCTCTTTTTGTTCGTCTCTAAGCCTCGACCACGCTTCGCATGCCACACACGAAAATAGAGCTCGTGACTAGTCATAGAGTGAAGATCAAATAAGGTTGTTGTTAGAGCATCAACATCCATACAATTACAAAGTCAATTGCGATGTGATTTCTATAGACGCCTCATCAAATTTTTGCAATTCAACTCATTTGAATTTCATTGCCTCTACATTAATGGAATTCATTTATAATTGCATATTAAAAAAATAACTCATATCAAGTATATTTTAATTCATTTAAATGACACAAAGAAAAATAGGACCAGACCCCCTATGATGTCCATCTACGTTGGCATTGCAATTGGTCTTTCTACGAAAGCTTGCATAATTACATCATTTCCTACATCAATGACATTGATGAGCTCCAATCCACGTCATAATGCAATTGGGAAAAGATAGCAGATATGGATGCTCAGCTCATTGCTCACGGACACTGATAAAAAAAACAAATGTAAAGAGGAATTTACTATCGCATTTATTGTGAAACAGTCAATGTGCCAAACGCACTCTTCTCTCAACAACAGACACTCGTTCCTAATGCATTACAAAACCTTAAGTGGTCGAGAATGGATCTCAGACGGATACCATCAGCTTACTTGCGCCGTCTGTTGGGGACCAACTCTGGACTGCCTTTTCTCATCATTGCTGCAAACTCGTCGTAGTTGATTCTTCCATCCTGTCAAAAGAACATATCAGAGATCCGACCCTCCATGATTGTGTGTGCATAGAAAGCACGACAAACCGAAACAACCAGAACACATACATTGTCAGTGTCTACTTCTGCAATGATCTCCTTGATCGTTCTGGGATCACCCATGTTGTATTGCTTAAGCGCATGCTCCAACTCTTCCATGGTGATGTACCTAGAACAAGACAAGAGACATAGAAAAGAAAGATTTGGTAGAGGGAAGAGAATCCATAAAATTACATGAACAACATTGAGACAGTAAGAATACCCGCTCTTGTCCTTGTCGAAATATTCAAAAGCCTTGTACAAGTGATCCTCTCTTTCCATTCTATTCAAGTGCATGGTTGCGGTGATGAACTCTATGTAGTCAATTGTCCCATTTCCATCCACGTCCGCCTAAAGAGAGGAGATCACATTTGACACTACCATCAATGGTCTTTTACTCATTGGCCGAAGCAATGATAAGCTCGTGCAAAGATAAGAAACCATGAGAAAGGAGCAGCAATTATACCGCTTCCATTAATTGCCTGACTTCAGACTCGGACAGCTTGGTGCCGAGCTTTGGAAGACCAGCCCTCAACTCCTCGTAAGTTATGGTTCCACTGTTATCCGTGTCCATGGATTTAAACATTTCTCTTAACCCCATGATTTCTTCCTCAGAAAGATTTTCTGCGATTACCTAGAAAATGGGGAGAGATTAAACTATACCTCAGAAGCTAGGAAAAAGCGTAGGCAAGCAAAACAATATGAGGGCATACCTTCAGAGCTACTTTTTTTAGCTTGTTCATAGCCCTGAACTGTTTCATTCTTGATAAAACAGCAATATCAATAGGCTTATCGGATGCATCACCGTCTTCTCTCATCCATGGATGATCTGCAGAACAAAATTTTCAATCTCTTGTCAAATGTCTCTCCCTCATTTTCAGAAGCCAAGGAAGTCAAGGCCTCAAGGGACATGACTTCTCTCATCCAAGGAAGTCAAATGACTCTCCCTTTCTGCATCTGCATTAGGGACATGACACTTACTGAGCACTTCAACTGCTGATAGCCTTTCCTTTGGATCAGCCCTCAGCATCTTCTTGACGAGATCTTTACCACTACTTGATATGGAAGGCCATGGCTCTGAAGAGAAATCAATATGCCCATGCAAAACAGCATCAAAGATAGCCTGCTCTGTCTCTGCAAACCAAAGAACAGAAGCCAAAGATGAGATGCTAGCAGGGGAGGCAGGATCAAGAACACTTAGAGCATGGACCATAACGAACATCAGCTGCAGTTCTACTAGCTTAATTTAGCAAGTTCACTAGCAACCAATGAAAATTCTACTTCTTCAAATGTGGCCAACACCATAAACCAACGAGGAAATTGCCAGAATTGAATGTTCTAAAATCTCTCAGAAGTTCAAAGTTCTCCCTACCAAAATGTCCCAAAGCATCATACCTCCCCAGAATGGCGGAACTCCACTAAGTAAAATGTACAAGATAACCCCAGCACTCCAAATATCAGCCTCAGCACCATAGCTTCTGCGCAAAACTTCAGGAGCTACATAATATGCACTTCCAACAAGATCCTTAAACACATCTCCTGCAATGGCAGATCAACGGAAAAGGATCAAACCTTCAAAACAAGCCAAAGATACCCAGTTCCAGAGCTCACCAGACAAAGATGGGAATCTAGCCAGCTCGATACTTCAAAGATTGCAACAACTAAAAAGATTCCCTACCTGGCTTGAAAAACACAGAGAGCCCGAAGTCAGTAGCCTTGAGAGGCGATTCCTCGGCGGTACTCAAGAAGAGGAAATTCTCCGGCTTCAAATCCCTATGCATAACCCCCATACAATGGCAATTGTGCACCACCGTGACCATCTGCCGGCAAAGCCCAGCTGCTGCCCTCTCGGAGTAATGTCCTTTGGCGATGATCCGATCGAAGAGCTCCCCGCCGGCACACAGCTCCATCACCAAATTAACCGAATGTCGATCCTCGTACGCACCCTTCAGCTCGACTATGTTCCGGTGGCCGGTCAGGTGATGCATAATCTGCACCTCGCGGCGGACGTCTTCGATGTCGTCGCGATTGATCAGCTTCCTCGATGCGATTGACTTGCAGGCGAACTGCTCTTTAGTCTCCCTGTGGGTAACTAAGTAGGTAACTCCAAATTGGCCCCGACCCAGTTCCCGGCCGAATATGTAAGTGGACCGTACGTCCTCCATCGGCCGACCCAGGACGCGGCCGACGCCGGCGGAGGGGGCGGGGTGGTCGGAAGAGGCTGGTTGCGAGTGGGTCGGCGGCGGGGGAGGGCGGGGCGCGGCGGCGGCGTTTGGAGGGAGGACAGTGATCCCGTTGGTGCGTCCGCCACCGGTGGCGGCGGAGGAGGAAGGCACGCTGTTACAGCTACCCATCGCCGGCGAGGGGTGAGGAATGGGGTTGAGTTGAAAAGGAGTCAGATCCGGAAGTCAACAGAGGGAGACGGCCGGTGAAAAGGGAAGGAAGGAAAGATGACCGGAGGCGGGAGCGTTTTTCTGGATGGGCAAGATTTTTTGTCTGGAGATTTTTGCGGAGCGGTGTCTTGATCGGACGGAGAAGGTGGAGGCAGGGAAGGGGGCAATTTACGATAACAACCTTCAAGAGTTTGGGTTACTGTGTGAGGTGGTACAGCGGAAATTTGTGTGTGGACTCAGCAGGCCGGCCAACTAATTGCCATTTGGCAGTTAATGAGGTACTTATTGGTCTAGCTCGGCGATTTACTAACAAACTAATAATGGCGCATTTTCATATTGAGGACTATACTGATTTGGCAGATTAGTCCTATTCTTTGCTTAACCATAGAGATTAGTTAAACTGGTGCAAAGTAGAAAATTGTATATATTTTTATAATAAATTATTGATTGCAAATTGCAATGATTCTATGGATTATATTCGACTATTTGAACAACCTAGAATGTTATAGTAATTGCGATAATTTTAAAAATTAAAATACATAGGATGTAAAAATTCGACAGAGTTTTTGGATGAATGTCTCGACTTGAAAAAGTAGAGAGGAAGAAGGGTGTGCATCATGAGTATTAAAATTAGAATTTATATGTTATGAGAATCACTTAGATCTATTAACTATAGATTGATTGCATCCAATTTAATTTGCAATGACAAGAGTAAGATTTTTAGATAGTATGAAGATTCTTGGATTTTGAAATACGAGGAGTGATGAGACTAGAAATACTAATCATGACTCGATGAGTATAATTTTGAGTTAGATCGGGAAATAGTGTTAATAACTCGCTTATTGTCCATAGCATAGTATTTGCAATAAAAAGACATACCCGCAAAATACTCGCATAGTCCAAGTTATCAATTGACAATGTGTGGATATTATTCACAAATAATTTATATAAATTCAATTAAACATGTTGCGATTTGTGTTCGAAAAATACAATTATGTACAACTACCACTGTACTCACTTCACCCTACTCATTGTCATCCCTTGTGTACCAGAAAAATACAACTATCATTTTACTCACCTCGTCTCTCAATTTTATCAATGTATTGTCATGAGAAAAGTAGAAGGATAATAGATGTCCTTTTTCAGTTGACTTATTTTAAAATGAACATACCTTGTGATGTGGTAAACTTGTAAAATTAACCTTATAAAAGATATATTTGGCTTAAGTAAATAGATATATCATATTCTTACTTATACCCGTTTTACCTTAAAATGGTTATCAATATAGGCTTCCTCTCGAGACGAGCTTTGAAAGATTTGTGTTAGAAAAAAAATATTATTTGCAATATGGAAGAATTATAGGAGACAATTGAGTAAGTGGAGGCATATTCATTTCAAGCAAATGGATACTTTGAGATAGAACAAGAAAAAGTAAATTCTATTAATTCAACTTTTAAGACTTTGGAACAATTGGAAAATTATAAAAATAAAATAATTTATTTTGGACAACAAAGAACGAGTTATGTTTCAAACTTAATTCTTTAGTAAACGAGTTAAATATAAATCAACCCACTTTAAAAAGTGTCAACTTTCATCAATTGCTCGCATCCAACTTATAAACCACATGTTCTTAAAAACTAGTGTTGAATCCGGCCCGTTGGCCGGTTTGTGGTCATTTGGGTATTTTTTTAGTTAAACGTAGGTGGTTCGAAGCAAATATCGAGTCGATACGATATGGATGAAATTATTGTTTAACCTATGACTAAGCATGCGATCTTACCTTTCAAAATTTAATGTAAAAATTAGACATGCTAATTTGAAAATTAAAAGAATTAAAAACAACATAAATTGATTGTATTTTGCCAAGATTTCCCGTTTTTCTTCCTCATCATGTTTGCCGCTGTGAGATTAAGATTCTAAAACTTTTGAAAGTTGATGCTTGGTTTCTCTGTTTAACGTAAAACCCTAATGTGAAAAAGCCTATTCAGAAGGAACCTCTTCCCAAACATCCACACCACAACGATATATCACCTTTATCATCTCAAAATCCAATTCGCAAGCATTATCTCATTTAGGAGTTAAACAACTTTAGATAGCCTCTCTTTTTTTCTTAACCACACAAAATAAATCTACACATAGCAAAATTCAAAATGATTATGTAGCATTTACCTTAAAACAAATAATTTTCCCCCTTAATCCTAATCACATTTACTAAAAAGAAAACCAAAAGTCCAATAATAATGAGTGACCCTTGAGTATTTGAAAAATTGTCAAAGTTGCCCTTCCACCAAATAAGGAGAACCAATCAAAGTGCAAGGTGGCAACAATGACATAGAGTGAAGTGCATAATATATTGTGTAGATAGATAAATAAAAAAACTCATACACCCTCCTTTTATCAGGGGAATAACTTCTTAACCATCAACCAAACATTCCAAAGAGTATTCGACTCGTAAATAGCATAGTAACGAATTCCATCAGCTTGCATTTGACTTGGAAGTTTTTTTTTATAATAATAATCAAACCGGATTCGTAAAGTTCCTGGAAAATCATACATAATAGGGCTGGAAATCTGGTCCCGGTTTTCTGGTCAAACCGGAAACCGGCCAGTTTAAACGTGCCGGTTGTAACCGGAAACCGGATCTCAACCAATCCAATCCCGTTTACGGTTGTAATGCCCAAAAGCCCGGTCCGATCCGGTTAAAACCGGACAACAACAAATAAAAAATACAACCCAGCCCAACCCTCAGCCCCCAGCCCAGCCCTCAGCCCCAAGCCCAGCCCAGCCCGCCCAGCCCCAAGCCCAGCCCGCCCAGCCCGCCCCCAAGCCTAAACCCTAAATGCCGCCGCCTCATCGCCGCCGCCTCCTCTGTTCTCAACCCTCTCTCCCTCTGACCCTCGAGCTTCTCTCTTTTCCAATCACCGACCCACCACACAAGAGTAGGAGAAGAAGAAAATCCGACCAGCCTCCATTTCATCCCACCAGAACTCGACGGCGATGGTGAGTGGTGACGGCGACGGAGCTCTCCAAATTCCCAGCGATGGCGATGGTGACGGCGACGGCGACCCAGGAGATCTTATCGCTTGACATGCGATGGGCGACATGCATCGCCTCTCCAAAGTTCGTCTGCTGCCTTTATCGCTCGATCTCCCCTTCCCGGCTCGCGCGACTCCAACCACTTCTCCAGCTCCAACTCTTCTCGCCTCTCTAACTTCTATCGAGCTCATAGGCAGAGCGAGCCAGAGGAGTGCTCGAGGGAGAAGAAGGCGATGCTTGGGTGTATTTGGTTTGATCCAGAAGAGGGAGAAGGAGAAGAAGAATCGCGAAAGTAGATGGAAAGGAAGAATCGCGAGAGGAGCAGCGGCGAAGATTGAGGTTGGGGAATAGATTAGGATTGAAGTTTGGTAGGATAGGGTGATTTTTTGTCATTCAAACGGCTGTGTTTTGGGGTGGAAGAGGAGATCCGGTTTTTTGGTTTAAACCGGATCAATCCAGTCCGGTCACGGTTGAAACCGGGTAACAATCCAATCCCGTCTTCGGTTGTGGAGTTCTCCAATACGGTTGTAAAAAACCGGGTCAATCCGGTCCGGTTTAAACCAAACCGGACTGTTTCCCAGCCCTAATACATAATCCAGTATTTTAACATTGTGTCGGATACATGAAAACCAAAGGGGAGAAGGTGTATGCCCCGATTAGTCAGAAAATCAGCACACTTATAACTTATTACCTTCTCGATAAACATGTTGGATATTTACTTCCCACGGTCGCGTGAGAAGCACCTGGAGTCATGAGACGATGGCTGTGCAGTGATGATCACTGGAGGTATGTCATTGTGTAACAACTGCACTACACTTAAAGGGAATCAAGTTGAAGGTTGACCCGACGATAGTTCTCTTCCCAAGCTAACTGTAGTTCTTGTAACGCACCTCGCAGTTCAGCTGCTTGCGTGATAGAACACGTTCCCAGCTGATTGGAAGTAAAGGCTGCCAGACATCTTCCTGTGAAATCTCTCATCAGTCTTCCAGCCGCTGCATTTCCTGAGTTAGAGTTAAAAGAAACATCTGTGTTTAAAGCAACTCAACATGTTTGCTGCACTTTCCCTGGTGGCCTCCCATTGTGGAGGAAATTGCCTTAGTTCAAAGCAATGCTGACCCACATTAATCCAAGCCTTTGCACGTTGGTAGTAAAAGAATCCATTGTTGGCTTTTTACCTGCAAAAACCCTTTCATATTTGCTTCTCCAGAGCGAACTTGGACGCTTTCGAAAAACCCTTTCATATTTGCTTCTCCAGAGCGAACTTGGACGCTTTCGATGCTGATACAGTGATACCATAACCAAATTCTATTTCCAGACAGTTAATGAAAAATAGCAAAAAATATAGATGCGTCTGCCGGGAGTCGAACCCGGGTCTATTGCTTGGAAGGCAATTATCCTAACCGTTGGACTACAAACGCAGCTTGTTGATAATGTTCTAGAACTACAATTATTTAAATCCGTTATCGTTAAAATCACCAAGGTAAAAACTGCCCCAAAATTGTGGCAGAATCAGAATTACATGCTTTTGTAAAGGAATTGACCATCTACCTGATACAGGAAACTAATGCATGTAATCATGTCGTCTGGCTGGCTGCTGCACATAGTTTTTGGTTTGAGTAAATAACCGAGGGAGGTCGGATTCTGATGGCTTGAAAAAGATGGAAAACACAGTCTCTCATTCGCATGTATATGATCACAGAATTCTCCACCTGAATTGCTTTGCTTTCTCACACTGAGCACTTGGAATATATTCCTCAACCAATCAACTTGATGTCAACACAGTATGTTTTGTCACGTTTCTTTTCGAATTCACCTCTGCAATTTGCCTTCTCAATTACCTCCCGCTAGCTACTTGGATGATTTCGTGAGAGAACTGTACAGTGTTTGGAATAAGAATGAATTCCAGGATCACAAATTGACTGTGCTGCAGATTCTAGAGGCTGCTCGCCCTGCCAATCCATGCATGCACACATATCAGATCTTTCTAATTTGTCTGATAGATTGACGATTTGTAAGCATATATTCACCTTCATCATCACCTAGTGCTCATGATCCACTCACTTGTACAGCATAACACATAGGTGTTAATCCCGTGTCGATCTTGAAGCATGAAAAGGATCGAGCTGATGGTCTGGAAGAAATGAAATGAAAGATTGTGTATACTGAACATATAGATAGATACCTTGAAACATGACACAGAACAACACTACAGTGCTATACTTTCAGAGTTTCTTTTCCCCTTGTCATTTAATGGGATAATAGGAATAAGTCTTAGTCAATGTTAATATTCCCTACATGCAGTGACATCCTTAGCTAGCTAGCTCCCCAAACAAGCAACACTTTGGCTTGGTGCTTCCCCAAAATCATTCTGCTCCCCTCCTGGGTTTTGACTCATTCCCAAAAGGTAAAAAATTTAGCAGCATTCATTCTGAAGATCAAGTTACTAGCTAGTTTTACAACCAACATGCCTTAAACAGTATGATTCTGGTTACTGTATTCATGCATGCATTATTGAGGCTAAGCATCTTTTTTCTGTTATCCTGTTGAGATTTGCTTGCACCACTGGAGAACGCAGACACTAACGCGCGTTAAATTGGTGTTAGCTCCGTTGTCTTAGAAGGATCGAAAGGCGATCTAGAGATGAAAGATTGAATAGATACCTTGGAAAATGACAGAAGAAGAATGTTGTTCTTTTATTCAAGTATGCATTATTGAGGCTAAGCATAATCTTTGATCCTGATGAGATTTGCATTAGTAGTTCCCATCTTCATTTCTGCAATTGCAGTTTATTCCCTTTTCTCCTTACTCTGCACTACTTGCTTCAAATGACAGCCTCTCTCCCCAGCCTCAACTCTATAAATCACTCTCCCCCCATCTCCCCCATTTCTCATTCATATCACTCACTCTTCCTCCTAAGCATCTGGAAGAGAAATGAATGGAAAGAAGGGAAGTTGTCATCATCATGTTGAGATCAACATACCACCATTAACATTCATGCCAAAGGCGCTTACCAAATCCGAGAAGGGAGCATCATCATCATCATCCACAATCTCGTCGTCGTGCCAAGCTTGGACCAGGAGGTTGTGGGAATTTGTGAGAGAAGACAGCAATCGAGTCACATTCGCATTCAAAGTTGGACTAGCTGTTCTACTTGTGTCATTGCTCATTTTAGTCAGAGCACCTTATGACATCTTTGGCACCAACATCATCTGGTCCATCCTCACTGTTGCTATCATGTTTGAATACACTGTTGGTACATTTTTCTTCTTCTTTTCATGTCACCTTTTCAGTGCACAAACGAAGCTAATGAATATTACAAGGCATGCTTAACCTTAAATTGTTTGTGTTACTATATCCAAAGGTGCAACGTTCAATCGAGGATTCAATCGCGCACTTGGAAGCTTGCTAGCTGGTGTACTGGCCATTGGTGTTGGTCAGCTAGCTCTATACTCGGGGAGGGTTGCAGAACCCATCATAATCGGCATTACCATCTTCTTAGTTGGTACCATCTCTCACACAATGGCTTTTTTGTTACATGACATAACCCTATCACAACATTTGATAACATAACCTTGTTTATCGAAGGTGCTATTACATCGTTCATGAAGCAATGGCCATCACTAGTGCCATATGAGTATGGATTCAGGGTCATTCTCTTCACCTACTGCTTGATCATAGTCTCCGGATACCGGATGGGGAACCCAATTCGAACAGCCATGGACCGGCTTTACTCGATCGCCATTGGAGGGTTCGTAGCGGTTCTTGTGAATGTTCTAGTTTTCCCCATCTGGGCAGGGGAGCAACTCCACAAGGAGCTTGTTGCTAGCTTCAATGCAGTTGCAGAAGCTCTTGAAGGTACTCCACTAACAACATGATAAAACACTGAAAAAGAAGGATTCAGAAACTAATGACATCAAAATTATGTCCCAATGTAGAATGTGTTGAGAAATACTTGGAAGATGAGGGGCTAGCTCATCCAGAGTTCACCAAGACAGTGATGGATGAGTTCTCGAACGAGCCGGCTTACACGAAATGTAGAAGCACAGTCAATTCCTCTGCAAAACTTGAATCCTTGGTAGCAAAATCAACATATTCATCAAGCCACATTTTGTCTGATTCAAACATCCTTACCTATATGATTGAACTTTACAATGTATGGCTATGTGAAGGCGAATTCGGCGAAATGGGAGCCGCCACACGGCAGGTTTAGGCACTTCTTCTATCCATGGTCAGAGTATGTGAAAGTTGGAGCAACGCTGAGATACTGTGCTTACGAAGTCATGGCACTTCATGGTGTTCTTCACTCTGAAATTCAGGTAGCCATTACAATGATCAAGGGGATATTCATAAATAATAAATTCTTGCCATCCAACAAACAAAATTAACATAAATACAGGCACCATATAATGTGAGGATCACATTCAAGTCAGAGATTGAAGACGCAGTGACGAAAGCCACGGAGGTGATTCGGGACTTGGGGAAGGAGATCAGCAACATGAAGAGAATTGGCGACACCATCAGAAGTTCGTTGCTAAAAGGGGTCCATAATTCGGCCGAGCGGCTTCAACGCGCCGCCGTTGCTAAAGCATTACCGCCGACCAATGGCGACGAAAATGATGATAAAATGTCGTCGCAGTTGATTGTAGGGAACTTTGAACAGCAGAAGGCGGCGCTTTCGGTGGCGACTTTCACTTCGTTGCTAATTGAGTTCATGGCGAGGTTGGATCACCTGGTGGAAGCCGTCGATGGGCTTGCCGACTTGGCCAAATTCAACTGTGAAGAGGTTTTATAAGAAGAAACACGATTATGGACTTGGGCCTGCTAGTACTTTGCTTTGCTAATCATTTGGGCCACAAATATGGACTTGGGGCATCTTTTAACTTAGCCCGGGTGCTACGTTTCTCTTTTTTTCTTCTTCTTTTCTCTTAGAATTTTGAATTTACGAAGATGGTAAGTTTATTAGAATGGGGCAATCCTCGCTGATGTTCGTCAGTTAACAAGGAGACTCGAGTTTTGTTCTTGCTCCCTTGTTACTCGTCGAGTTAATAGAGCAGCCCATTTTGTGGCCCAAAACGCTCTTTCATCGGAAGTTCGGCGATTAGTCGACTTCCGCCCGTGGTTTTGTTCTGTACTTTGACTTTGCACCGGACTTATGTCTGGTTTTGACTATGTTAAAAAAAAAGAAGGTAATATGATCGGGAGAAAAAAATTAGAATAGAAGGTAATATTGATAAGATTTGGTCCATACATAAACGAATTAAATCGGATGAAATATAATTTTCTCTCTTATGGAGGGTTGCAAAGTCCATAAAATATTTGGCATAACTGTCTTTTTAGTTGGTACCATCTCTTCCCTAACAATTTCATCACTTAAATTACATAAATTTTTCACATTTCCCACATGAATTACTTTTTTTCTTATTCGTCACTAGTTGTAAAAATAGTTTCACCATTAATCATTTGCTGTCAGTTTCCGTCAAACTCTATTAACGTTGTTAGTTTAATATAACGTGTCAAACGTAACCCGTGACTAGGTTGAGAAAGATAGAAAAGCCAAAGTTTGGGTTAATCATTGCCTTCTGTTAGTTAAAAAAAAAGCAAAACAAAACAAAAAATGCTTCCTTCCATCACCCCTTAATAAAATGATAACCTTTTACATTTTATGGGGTATTATTACACCATCATATACGTTACATGGATATTATACTCCATATGAATATCACATACATTAATTGGACTGAGCATTTCGACCTCACGATTCTAAGTATGATCATTAAAAAAATTCCTTAAACAAAGATAATTATATAAGAATTGAACCACAAATACTATGTAACAACGTCATATCTTGCTACTTGAGTACGCCCTAGTGTTTGAATGTGTAGCAGCTTTTGAACTCATTGAAATCGTGCTTGTCCGAAATTTACGGTTTCTTTTCCTACCTCTTTAATCATTGAATTAACTCTAATATTTTACGTTAGTTTGATACCACAAAATATTATCGTTATGATATTTAATTATTTTTTTATTAAATTTATAATATCTAATTACAGTGTCACTCTCTTTTAAATAAGAAAAATTCAAACATCTTACCATGAATTTCACTCTTCCCTTCCTTTAAAAACGACCCCTATATATTCTCAATATGAATTCCGCTCTTCTCTTCCACAAGAATCGCCCCCCTGTATATTCTCAATCGGTTAAGCTTTCCAATTTGACCAAAGAAGCAGGGATACTTGAGATGAAGGAAGAACAAACAACAAAAGAAAAAGTGCAAACAAGTTAAGAGTTTTTTTACATGTGAGAGATTACATGATTATGCAAAAGCCTACCGGTTGTAGTAGCAGTAGTTGTGGCGGCAATGATCATGTGGAGATCAACATACTGCTATCCAGAGCGGCTCCCATCCCCCAATCCTCCGATCATCAACGACAGGGTGACGATGGTGATGCCACCATCGGAGCGACCAGGCCGGTTCGACCTACGATCGCCAACTCGGGTCCTGTTTTGTTGAAGCGGGTATGGGATTTTGCCAAGGAAGACAGGAACAGAGTAACCTTCTCTTGCAAAGCAGGGCTGGCTGCAGTTTTGGTGTCATTCCTTGTTCTCCTCAATGCGCCTTACCACGTCTTTGGGATCAACATCGTCTGGGCTATCCTCACCGTAACCATCATGTTCGAATACACCGTAGGTAGGTAACGAATGAACCGTCCTGGCGACAGTTCGGATCGATTTTTCTCTGCTACCATGATGATGCAATTTGATTCTGATGATAACCCAAATGAGTTTTCTGCCAAAAGGTGCGACCTTTAATCGAGGGTTTAACAGAGGGCTTGGAAGCCTGTTGGCAGGGGTGTTGGCCATTGGAGTTGCAGAGATGGCCATTCACATGGGCACCGCTGCTGAGCCGATTGTGATTGCCATCAGCATCTTCATCATTGGTAATTTAGCTGAGCTCTAGTGAAAAAATGAATGACAATTTGAATTTTGGATTTTAACTTACGCATGATTTCCACCCCATTTGCAGGTGCCCTAACGTCATTCATGAAACTGTGGCCATCACTAGTGCCATACGACTACGGGTTCAGGATCATGCTAGTAACTTACTGCTTGGTGATTGCGTATGGATACCGACTCCGAAACCCGATCCAGACAGCGTTGGAACGGCTATACTGCATTGCCATTGGAGCAGTGGTAGCAGTTGCTGTCAATGTGCTGGTATTCCCCATATGGGCAGGGGAGCAGCTGCATAGGGAGCTTGTAGGCAGCTTCAACTCAGTTGCTGACTCTCTCGAAGGTACAATTCAGTAAAACCATAGTTTAAGATTCTTGATTGATGCTTTTAATTAATACCCAAAATTTGAAAATTGGTTAGCATGTGTGAAGAAATACTTGGAAGATGATGAGGCAGAGCATTTGGAGTTGAAGACTGTGATGGAAGAGTTCCCAGATGAACCAGCTTACAGGAAGTGTACTAGTGCTGCGAATTCCTCGGCCAAACTTGAATCCCTGGTGCGTGTGTGTATAATACATAACTTGAAGACAAGCCTGATTCCAAGTTGCAGTAGTAATAGAGATTTGGTTTGTGGTCGATTTTGCAGGCGAATTCAGCGAAATGGGAGCCACCACATGGAAGGTTCAGACACATGTACCCATGGTCGGAATATGTGAAAGTTGGAGCAGTTTTGAGGTACTGTGCTTATGAAGTTATGGCACTTCATGGTGTTGTGCACTCCGAGATTCAGGTACTCTTGCTTCGTGAAGTAGCAAAACGGACCATTTTCATCTTTATGTGTGGTTTGTGGTATGTGGTTTTCATTCTTTACCTGGCAGGCGCCACACAACCTGCGGATCATATTCAGGTCACAGATTCAGGAGATGGCCAATGTAGCTGCGGCACTCATCCGAGACCTGGGCAAAGATATAAGCACCATGAGAAGAAGCCTTCGAAACATGAAAAGAGTCCATGACTCTGCTGAGAATCTTCAACGCGCAATGGAGATGCATTCTCACTTGCTGCTAGTGACAGACTACAACTATTCCAAGCAGCAGGCTCGAGATACCGAGTTCGTCAGCAAAATCTCAGTCCAAGCAAGCAGTGGAGAGAGAGAGCCATCATCAGGGGAAATCCAGCAGTCTGCTCCATCTTCGGAGGAAGAACCTCCTCCGAAAATGATGGCATGGAGGAGCACCGAAGTGCTGTCACTTGCAACTTTTACTTCCTTGCTTGTTGAGTTGGTAGCAAGGCTTGATCATTTGGTTGAAGCTGTAGACGAGCTATCAAAGATGGCCAAATTCAAGCACAACAGCAATGAGCTTTCGAGAATGCACAACAGCATAACTCATAGCAGCTCGTAGATCTTTTGGCCGCTAAAGTGAAATAAACGTGTAAAAACTCTTATTGTGGTGGAACTTATTGCAAATACTCAGGATAGAAAAGTACTTCATAAAAAAAAAGCGCTTTATCACGGGTAAAGAGAAGGAAAAATGGCTTATCATTGAGCATTTGTGGCACCAGAGAATAGAATTATAGTTGATATTTATTTTCCTTATTTCTACTTCATCATGTACTGACTGCTCACCCCCCCCCCCCCCCCCCCCCCCCCCTCAACAACTTCGTTTCTAACTTCACTCGAGTTTCATTTCTTACCTGTATCACAATCATCAAATCTTCAGAAGTAAGCAATCCAATAGTCCATCCTTAGATCTTCTGGCTTCCTGTGATTTGCACACACCACAGCAAATGGAAACTGACAGAGCCGTAATAGCCAAATTCAAGCATCACATCAACCTTGGAAATTAACACCAACTACAAGGATTTATTACCACCACCCACAATGTTCTGAAACCAACGACCAACCCTTACATTACAGAGATACAACTGACCGACACACTAACCCCTGCTGGACATTTGTTTATATGACGAAAATATTTACAGCACAAACACCAAGTACTTACCCAGACCCAGAACGCTAACTAAGACCCTACATTGGTATCACAACTCTGACAAACGGGCTTCCAATTCCCAACATGTTCCTAAACATTCGATCAAACATTCAGTGCTTAAGGGATTAAAAGCGTTCAGCAACTACGCAGACTCCAGACCAAATAACAAAACATGAGAACTAAGACAGCAGGTATTTTGGGAACAAGAAATTCAGGAATCACATCCACTTGATAGGTACCGAGCAAGACATACTCTGCTCAAGCTGGCGGTTGCCGCTCGAGCTAGCACCAGAAGAACCGGTTTGCAGCATTGCCATCAAACTACCGCCATGGACCCTGCCTTCTGTTGCAGATGATGGTGTGGTTGAATGGTCTGCTTCCCCTCCAGATTCTTCAAACTCTGAGCTGGTTCCATCTTCTGAAGAGACATTAGCAGTAACTCCCATCTTTCCCACATCTAAAACCATATCCTCATGAGTCATTACAACTTCCTTCATCTTACCACTCTTGTGAGCTTTTGGATCCTCTTGGACCATGGTACCCAAGGTGATACCCCCATGAACTCTCTTGTCCTGCACCAATCCACTGTGAAGAACACAAAGACCAGTTTTGCCCCTGGCGAAAGAGTTGCAAGCACCACCATCGCCCACATTACCCGAACCAGGATGGCCCCACGAGCACCTCTTTCCTCCACCATGCGCCTTGCAGAAATCAGTGCTTCCTTGCGCACTCTTTCCACACCCTTCGAACTTGCACCTCTTCCCACCACCATGACGAACACAATAATCTGTCCTTCCTCTTGCACTCTTTGTGCACTCAGGAACTGCACACCTTTTCCCTCCTCCATGCGCGACACAAAAGTTGGTCCCACCATGGACACTCTTTGTACAAATCCCGCCACCTTGAAAAGCACACCTTTTCCCTCCCCCATGACCTTTGCAAAAAGGTGTGCTGCCCTCGGCTCCCTTAGTGCACCCTACAGCTGTGCATCTCTTCCCTCCTCCATGTGCTTTGCAGAACATTGTGCTTCCTTGAGCTCCCTTAGTACAATCAGGTGCTTGACATCGTCGACCACCTCCATGAGAGATGCAAAGACCTGAAAGACCTTCAGCAGATTTTGTGCAATTCTCTTTCTGACATCTTTTCCCACCACCATGACGGATGCAAAGCCCAGATTTACCTCTAGCAGCACGACTGCAACCATCATGACTACATCTCCGACCGCCCCCATGAGCGATACAAAAGTCGGTGCGGCCTTCTGCACTTTTGGTACATCCGAGGAACTCACATCGTCGACCGCCACCGTGGGCCTTGCAGTACACGGTGCGTCCCTCAGCTCCCTTATGACATCCCTGTTTCTGACACCTCCGACCACCACCATGGGATATGCACCGGCCGGAAGCACCTCTAGCCCCCTTCTCACATCCTTCAATTTGACAAGTTTTAGAACCCGAGCCACGCAAAGACCGCTGAGAAATCCCAGAAGTAGAAGTGACTGAGCCATTTGGTGTTACCACACTTGATGAAGGAACTGGAATTATGGGGATGATAGGTTGATGAACTTTGTTGAGAAGGAATCCCCCATCTTCGTTGCAAGGAATCTGTAATGGAACCAATTGGGGCCCAAAACTGAAAGGCCCACCAGCCATAAGAGGTACTTCTTTGGGAAACTCAATCGAAGTAGAACCAGCATGGGGACTTTTGTGATGATGTGAAACAACATGGAGACTTGTTATCTCAGATTCTGCAGGTCCGGTTGACAAACTCAATTCAAGGTCAACTTTGGACAAGGATTCCAAAGCTTTACCACGTGAAGTGAGAGCCTTCTTTGGATTGAGTGTCTTTTCATTGCCAAGATGGAGGGAGAAATCCAGCTCGAGATCCATGGAAGACTCTTCGTCGGTTTCTTTGGCGGATGACATTGTAGTGCAGCCCATGAGAGAACTTCCTTTGCTATCTGATGAACTTGATGAGCGGCCCAACCCAAGAGACAATGAAGAGCCAAAAATTTGTTGATCCATTGATCCATTGACTAAACTCCATTTCCGCTTCATCCCCTTCGCGGGTGGCACAGATGGTGCAGCGGAACCAAGGGAATCGAGCCGTAAAACTGTATCGGCCCTAGAATCGGTAGCTCCAATGACTCCTCCAAATTGCATGATCTTGAATGCATTTGAAGGATGAGCAGCGGGAAAGTCCAAGTTCCGGAACCTGTTGTCCATCAATCAGCAACCCAACTTCTGAAGTAATTTTCCTAACCTAAATACTGTACACCACCAAACAGTACACCGGACTTATGGGTGTTCCAAATATCAGCTACAAAACTAAGTTAGAAGATGTCGACTAGCCAGCATGTGCAACCCCCGCTAACAAAGCCGGATGTATCACACCGATCCATTGTTGTCTTTATAAGTAATTCCCCAAGAAACTACAGCAAGAGCATTAGCAGCCAAACGCCTCCTCCACTACAATACCAAGACAGCCAAGCATCCTGTTTTCACAACAAGAACGAAGAAACAAAATGATTAGACCAAGTACTAAAGCTGAACAAAGTTTTCCAATAACAATCAGACTTTCAATCAATAAGAATAAAAACTACCACGTTCCCTCTTCCACAAACATTAGAAAGTAGACAGCAAATTTGACGGTTTCACCCTGAACAGAAAGTCAGTACGTTTTGGAGATTGCAGCATGATAAAGCAAAAAGTGAATGCCAGATTCAAACTTAGCTTTACTTTAACCGATTGCAAAAACTAGAAGACAACATGACAGATTGAAACAAAACAACAGAATTGAAGTCCCGATTGAATAAAAAAGACAAATAAATTTAAGACCGTAAAATCTGGGCTGCCATAGATAAAGCCTTCCGACAAAAAACTCAAGACGAAGCAAAACCAAATTCAGAGCACAGATTCAACCCTTCAATAAAAATAAAAATGAAAAGAAGACCCCATCATCTTACAAATCTAGCAAGCAAAAAATATGAAGATCCGCACTTTGTCACCCAAGAGAAGAAGAACGCAAAAATACTATGATCATTAGGAACAGACAGAGCAAAACTAATCAATCCAGCTCAACACGAGAAATCAATGAATCAATCCATCACAAATGTTGGGTTTTTACGAGAAACACCTCAATTAGATCACAGAAGAATAAGAGGCCCCAGGCCCAGAGAATTCAAAATATAACAAACACACAAATCAATAGCTACAACCAAAAGAATGACGAGGAAACACGAAATTATAGATAACACAGAAGAGAGAAGCGCAGAATCATCCCCAGCTCAATTGAGCATTCCTTTCCCCAAAATATAAACTGAAGCACAGAGACGAAGAGGCGAATAAGAGCCTTCCCCGTAACCAAACAGGGTAATTCAGAGAGAACCAGAATTGGGTTGAAAGAGCGGCGCGGACTGAGAGAAAGAGGCGGGAAGTAATTACCTGAGAACCCAATAATTGACGACAATGGACAAAAGAGAAGACGCGGCGAAGGGATCGATGGCGGGCGGGCGGGCTGGATGGCGGCGAAGGGGGCTTTAGGGCTTTGTGTATATATATTGAGGTACGGCGCGGCAGAGAGAGAGAGAGAGAGGAAAACGCAGACAGGCAGAGAGAAAGCGATAGACGGCAGAGGAAAGGATGGAAGAAAATGAGATGAGAAGGGAAGGGGAGGAAAGAAAAATAGAAAGGGAAGGCTTAGGAATAGGATGGTGCACGTGCCAGCGAATATGGAACGCACGTGCCAACCCTCTATCGGCGTCGGTTTTTGGGTTGTTTGACCTTTTGTGCCGTCCCCGCTACAGCCGCTGTTTTCTTCCCTGTTTCTGTTCCGGTTTTCCTCACTCTCACTCTCTCGGTTCTCTTTTTCTTCTCTATTAATTGCCATGGACAATGGCTACTTAATTTTGAGATTTTGCCTTACAGGGGAAAGGGAAATTAGATGTGCAACAGTAGTGTAAGCATATACTTGTCAATTGAAAAAAAAAGAACCAAATGAAATCTCCACCATCCAAATTATAGTGTAGATTATCGTCTTTTTAAGTTGTTCGATAGAAGTTCGAGGACTTGTGATGAATCCAACTTTGAAAATAAAATGTTACGCAGTCAACATAAGAGTATGTTTTGTCTTATATTTATTTCGTTTTCCTTTTTCCCGTCGCTTGTTCTTTTTGTTCTCTATGGTAACATTTCCCCCCTTCTGCTTTGGAATGAAAAGTTGATAAATGTCCTGTTCGGAAAGAAATCCCTCGACCACGTGCTATACAAGAGTAAATTCTTAACGGTTGTCAGTCAATCAGTGTTTCCAGATCAGCCACCAATAGAATGACATCTGTGAAGAGAGCGTTACATAGTGATAATTGATTAAGAAGTTATCACATCCTGACACCTACAGAATTCTAGATTTCCAGTTCCTTTTTCCATGAATGATTGAAACTACGCGACAAAATTGGAGTGTTGACCAACGCCAGTTTGAGTTGTCTAGTAGAGTTTTAAGCGCATCTGACTAATCCAGTTGTGAATATGGTTTTTTTTTTCTCGAACGAATATTGACTTTCCTAATGCGATATGAAAGTGTAGTTTCCTCTCGTTCTTCGTTCCTTTTTGTTTTCTTTCTCTTCTTCGCTCTTTTATTCTTCTTTAGTTTCTCATCTGCTACTAAGTTTTCCACTTTTGCTTTGAAAATAAGAATGTTAGATGTTTTACTTGAAATGAAATCTCCACAATCCTATGAAACAAAAGACAATACCACAGAGTCAATCAATTAGCTCTTATGATCAAAGTCACCAATAAAATTACATCACTGAAGAAAGCGTTACGTGTATTTAGTAGTGGAAAGTTATTATCTACTGACGCTTTCAAAATTCTGGCTCCAATCCCCAATGTATAAGTGGTTGAGATTATTTTTCGGAACGCAATTGTGGGATGAGACTAGACGACAAAATTATAGTGTTGACTGTCATCTTTTCAATTGTCTATCAAAACACTTGTAACGAATCCAACTTTGCATATGCATTGTTTTCTCCCATAAACATGAAATTTCTTAGCACAATATGAACAAAAAAAGTTACTCTCTCTTTGTTTGTTCCTTTATCTATTTATTTTCTTGGCTCTTTTATTCTTCTTTTGTTCTCTTATGACTACGTAATTTTTCGCTTTTGCTATGGGAAAATAAGTCATGTGTCTTATTCGAAATGAATTCTCCTCGATTAGCAATGCGGAAGGAAAAAGCGTTACATACCGCCAATGCAGTTAAAATCGCGCTTTAAAACTTAAAAGCTTACGCTTTTATCATTTTAAGTCACCAAAATGTTTCTACGTAGAATCACACTTTTTCCTTACAATTGTAATCAAAATCTACGCTTTAAAACTTAAAAACTTACGGTTTTACGCTTTTAGCTCACTAAAGCGTTTTTAGGTAGAATCACGCTTTGGACTGCATTACATACCGCTATTAGTCAATAAGTTATTATTCGCTGACACTTCGAGAACTCTAGACTTCTGGTCCTTAATCTATGAATGGTCGAAACTATTTTTTGCGGAACACAATTGTACTGGTCAAAACTATACGACAAAATTGTTTTTTACTAACAAAATAGTAGTGTAAAATTTATTTTCTTAAAAGGTGTTCGATAAATGTTCGCGCAATTGTAACAAATCCAACTTTAAATATAGACTTCCACATACCAATATGAAAATATGTTTTCCTCCCTCTTTTCTTTCCTGCTTCTGTATTTCTTTCTCTTCTCCTGTTGTTCATTTTTGTTGTTCTCTGGTATTGCTTAAATTTGTGTTGCTTGGAGGAAGAAAAAAAAAAAGATTACATATGTAAAATAATTTATCAACTATTTCTAATATACTAACACGTGTAAAACTGTCAATTTTCAACCCCTTTTCTAAAAATGACTTGAAGACAAAATCAATTATGGTAGTTGTGTCCTTTAAAACTCTTTTTTTTACAGATTGCATTTCTTTCTTGATTAAGTTATATATGATTAACTATTTTATCTCAGTAAACTCTCAGTAAACTCATATAAAGTTATATATGATTAACTATTTTATCTCAAAAAATTTAACAAATTGATAGATTCATTCAATCAACCATTCATTGCATATGCCCATTCCCAGTCTCCAAATGCATTGTAAATTGGTATTTGGATTGGTGAGAGCCTCTTTGGATAATTTTTTTTAGGAATGGGAATTTAATTTCCAAACTTTATGTTGGTAATGGTAAAACCATTAAGAAATAAATTTCATCTAGTTTAAATTTCGAGAGTTAAAATTCCTACAAAAAATAGGAAAAGAAGGGAAAACATTTAAGATCTTGATAAGCCTCCTTGCATGCATTCATTCTGATGCCATAAGCACTTAGGAAATTTTTCTTTGCTCCATTCGTCACGTCTCTTTGCTAGTCGATTTCTCGAGTAAATGGCATGTATTAACATCATTACCAAGAGTATTTTCGGGGTTAACCCGTACTTCAAGACAACATGAAATAACAAAATTTGTACAATAATAATTTCGATTCGACCTTTTCAATTCGATTAAACATAATTTTTTGTAGAGGTGTTCCTATATTGCAAGCTACATGTGGATTCACTCACTTCACTTTTCGACGGGATGAATCCAACATTGAAAATAACCGCTATGACCTATGAGTATGTTTTGTCTTATATTTGTTCCATTTTCCGTTTTTCCCCCTTCTGCTTTGGAATGAAAAGTTGATAGATGTCCTGTTCGGAAAGAAATCCCTCGACCACGTGCTATACAAGAGTAAATTCTTAACGGTTGTCACTCAATCATTGTTTCCGGATCAGCCATCAATACTCAATAGAATGACATCTATGAAGAGAGCGTTACATAGTGATAATTGATTAAGAAGTTATCACATCCTGACACCTGCAGAATTCTAGATTTCAAGTTTCTTTTTCCATTAATGATTGAAGCTACGCGACAAAATTGGAGTAATGACCAACGCCATTTTGAGTTGTCTACTCGATTTTTAAGCCCATCTGACTAATCCAGTTTTGGATAGGGTCATTTTTTCTCCAACGAATATTGACTTTCCTAATGCAATATGAAAGTATAGTTTCCTCTCTTTCTTCGTTCCTTTTGTTTCTTCCTCTTCTTCGCTTTTTTATTCTTCTTTAGTTTCTCCTATACTACTTATTTTTTCGCTTTTGCTTTGAAAATCAAAATGTTAGATGTGTTTACTTGAAATGAAATCTCCTCAATCCTATGAAACAAAAGACAATGCCACACAGTCAATCAATTAGCTCTTATGATCAAAGTCACCAATAAAATGACATGACTGAAGAACGCGTTACGTATAGTTAGTAGTGGGAAGTTATTATCTACTGACACTTTTAAAATTTTGGCTCCAATTCCCAATCTATAAGTGGTTGAGATTATTCTTCGGAATGCAATTGTGGGATGAGACTAGACGACAAAATTATAGCGTTGACTATCACCTTTTCAATTGTTTATCAAAGCACTTGTAACGGATCCAACTTTGCATATGCACTTTTTTCTCTGATAAACATGAAAATTCTTAGCACAGTATGAACAAAAAAAAGTTAATCTCTCTTTGTTTGTTCCTTTATCTATTTATTTTCTTGGCTCTTTTATTATTCTTTTGTTCTCTTACTATTACGTATTTTTCCGCTTTTGCTATGGGGGAAAAAGTCATGTGTCTTATTCGAAATGAATTCTCCTCGATCAAGAATGCGGAAGGAAATTATTAGTCACCAATCAATTGACACTTTAAGATCATAGTCACTAATGAAACGATTTGACTGGAAAAAAACGTTACATACCGCTATTAGCAATAAGTTATTATTTGCTTACACTTCCAGAACTCTAGACTTCTGGTCCCTAATCTATGAGTGGTCGAAACTATTTTTTTGTGGAACACAATTGTACTGGTCAAGACTATACGATAATTTTTTTTTTACTAAGGTGTTCGATAAATGTTTGCGCACTTGTAACAAATCCAACTTTAAATATCGACTTCCACATATCAATATGAAAATGTGTTTTCCTCCCTCATTCTTTCTTGCTTCTTTATTCCTTTCTCTTCTCCCGTTGTTCACTTTTGCTGTTCTCTAGTGCTACTTAAATTTGTGTTGTTTGGAGGGGAAAAAATAAAGTGAATACATATGTAAGATAATTTATCAATAATTCACAATCTTCTAACACGTGTAAAACTATCAATTTTCAACCCCTTGTCTAAGAATGACTTGAAGACAAAATCTATTATGGTGGTTGTGTCCCTTAAAACTCTTTTTTTTTTTAGAGTGCATTTCTTTCTTGGCATTTCACAGAGTGTCATTTAAACTCTCAGTAAACTCATATAAAGTTATATATGGTTAACTATTTCATCTCAGGAAATTTAACAAATTGATAGATTCATTCAATCATTCATTGCATATGCCCATTTCGAGTCTCCAAATGCATTGTAAATTGGTGTTTGGATTGGTGATAGCCTCTTTGGATAGATTTTTTTAGGAATGAGAATTTAATTTCCAAAGTTTATGTTTGTAATGGTAAAACGATTGAGAAATAAATTTCATCTAGTTTAAATTTTGAGAG